CAAGTAATGTTACTATTTGCACTTCTACTATTCACTTCACCACTCGAAGGAGGATGAATCCCTTTCTAATGTGGGCACAGGAACATGCAGAATCATTACAACAAACCTCCTGAGGAGCACATCAGGACTTCCTTGGTGGGTATCCCCACTTCAAGGAGATGGCTGGAATAAATTGTAAGACTATATTAATGAGACATGAAAAAGTCCAGTAACTCAAAGCTTAGCCCACCACACAAAGTAATAGAATGGCCTATAAATTATACTCTTCATGATCCAGGACATAATCGAATCTTTTCTCACAAGGCCACTGAAGCCTCTCTACAAGCACTAGCGAAGCTCCTATTAAACAAAAAGATCCTATCCCTGAGGGCCAATAATCATATATATAAAGATGATTTTAAAATATGGGATGAGTATATATGGTTAACCCTCACTCTAAAGACATCTCAGTAGAAAGTCTCCCTAGTGTTGGGAACAAAAGAATCACTCCTATTCTCATTGGCCCAACTCCACTGAATACTTGGGATGGACACCCTTGAACAATGTACATACACAGTAACTTTACACGCTAATGACTGGTTTGCAACAGACTGGTTTAATCACCCTGGACATTAGGTATGGAGCCCCCAATGGCACTCAATTTGTGACCCTGGCTACCTGCTGGATGGATAGGAAATGCACATTAGGATTCACACGGTTATAAGGCAGGTGTGTCAAAAGTATTGACAAAGTTGCAAATGTACCCTGCCTACGACATGGCCCAGAAATGTGTTTCACTGGTATGATCACTTGGTCTCTTTCTTTAGCCTTTCCCTAGGATTAGACGATACGCAACACATCAAGGCTTTAACTAACTATACTCAGTGAGCCTTAAATGATATTGCTGCTGGTCTCTCACTCCTAAATGAAGAAGTAAAATTAATGAGACAGGTTGTCCTCCAAAATCAGACGGCATTAGACATTCTAATATCTGCACAGGACGAGGGGAGGTACTTGTACAATTATAAAAACTGAATATTGTGTGTATACTCCTGATCCTTCTATAATACACCAGTAGCTGTTCAAGATATCAGATGACAGGGGCTGGGGATTTAGCTCAGCAGCATAAGCACCTGCCTTATAAGCAGACAGTTGTGAGTTCGATCCCCGGTACCAGAAAAAAGGAAAAAAAAAAAAAAGATATCAGATGACATATCAATGACATATCAGACTCTAAACTTCCTTGGACCTTATCCTTATCTTCCTTATGGGAAATTATGACTAACTCCCCTTGGTAGAAATTTCTGTGTTACACTCTTAATTATCTTGTTGATTTTATTATTTGGCCCAGGCATATTTAATTGTTTCTTTGGCTTTGTCTCCTCTAGATTTAAATGTGTGCCTACCCAAGATGAAAACACCTGGTGTCTATCCAGGATCTTTAGGTAAGACCCTCTGTAGGGTATTTCTGACTGCTGATTAACAACTATGACCCCTTTCAGCCTGAAGAAGCTAGATCGGTCACTGCCCATTTCTCCCTCATGGTAGTGTGGAGTACTTCTTCAGAGAGGGAACTGTTACAGGCAACTGAGTTAGACAAATATTATAAGCAGTCAGACAGGGCTAGGCCCTCCAGGGAGCAGTGCAGAAGACCAGATGTCTTGTGACCTTGGAGGAGATAGATACCTCCACTGGGGGCCCGATCTCAAGACAAAAGCAACCACAGCTAAAGTATGAACATCAGGGACTGATACTCTAAATAGGTACAGATCACTTTGAGGAAGCCAGGAGTCACCATCCCAATCCCCTATAAAGAGTCACTGCTCTTTAAGCAAGCCTGCTTGCTAAGTGACTTCATTTATCCCTAATTTAATCAATTTTACCTGAATAATTAATCTTATTGGTTGACCATAGTTCTGTCCCACTTCATGCCCATCTTGCAAGTTCCCATTTTCCCCCCTTAGACCCAGCTTATCCTGTGGTTTAGCTCTATACATTTCTGAGAAAAGGCAAGATCCCTGGCCACCCACCTGGGAACCCTTCTATCTCTTACACAGAAGCTTTCCTTCTCTCAATAAATATATTCTGCTCTTAACCTCCATTGTTCCTAAAATTCATTCTTCAATCTTAGTGAACACAAACTTGTACTGGACATCTAGTAGTAGGCTGGGACTTTCTCTCCCCTATGTCACAAGGATTCAAGTGATGTGAAGAGACTAATACTGATACATACACACACAAAAATCAAACATTTAACAAACTTCAAAATAATCCTAACCAAAATAAAAAGGTAATATGAAACAGGAAAGTAAGTCAGAATCACTGATTTGCAAAGATGAGGCAGATAAAAGTGAACAGATTTGAAAATGATATCAGGTCTATCAAGAATAAAAGTAGAATGGCTTTAAATATTAAAATGAACAAAACTAGGACAAGACTATTCATTAGCACATAAGACACAGAGCCTTCTATTTTATGTAAGTTTGAGATAAATTTGCCTTTAAAACACGGCCAAAAGAAAAAAACAAAAATTTTCCTCAAAATATGTTTTTTTGTTTGTTTTTTATCGGTACCAGGGATCGAACTCACGACCACGTGTTTGCAAGGCAGGCGCTTATGCCGCTGAGCTAAATCCCCAGCCCCTCAAAATATGTTTTAATTTGAAAGACTAAATAGTTTGAAAATGGGAAATGCAAGAAACACCTAGCCTGTAATATCAAACAAGGTTTTTTTTAAATTTATTTTTGAGATAGGGTGTTACTATGCAGTTTAGGCTCTGGTCTTAAACTCACAATGTAGCCCAAGCTGGACTCAAACTGGCAGTGATCCTCCTGCCTCAGTCTCCTGAATGCTGGGATTACAGGCGTGTGCTACTACAACTACAACTGACCAAGTAATCCTTTTTAATTGTGTACTAGTTTCCTTAGTGACATCTGGTAACAAGCAATTCTTTTTTTTTGGTACTAGGGATCGAACTCATCACCTCACACTTGCCAGGCAGGCACAACAACGTATTCTTTACCTTAAGTGTTCTTCCTGCCTTCTTGCCTTGTAACTCTCACGAATATGAAAAAGCAAGTTTCTTAAGTAAAAAATACAGGCTAGGCAAAGACTTTATGAACAAAACTCCAGTTGCATAGGAAATGTTATAAAGAACAATTGGAATTATAGATTAAAAACTTTTTGCATAGCAAAAGTAATACTAACAAAGTGAAGAGACAACCCATAGAATGGGAAAAAACTTTTACCAGCTATTTCTCTGACAAAATATCTATAACACATAAAGAACTCAAACCAAAACCAAAAACTAGACCCCAAATTTAAAGACTCAATATAAAAATGGGCATCTGAAGTGAATGATCACTTCTTACAAACAGCAAATAAATAAATGAAAAAATGTTCAACATCACTGGTCATTCAAGAAATGCTAATTAACACAACACTGAGAAACCAAGTAACTCTAGAAAGAATGGCTATCATCAAGAAATCAACAACAAAGGCCAGAGATTTAGCTCAGTGGCTTAAATGCCTACCTGGCAAGTGCGAGGTTGTGAGTTTGATCCCTGGTACCAAAAATAAATAAATAAATAAATAAAGGAAATCAATAACAAATGCTGGTGAGACTATGGTGAAAAAGGATCCTCCTGTACTATTGGTGGGAGTGTAGACTGGTGCAACCAATATGGAAATCAGTATGGCAGTTCCTCAAAAACCTAAAACTAGAGGTTCTATTTAACCCAGCTATTCACTTTCTTGGTTATCTTGCAGTCAAAAGCATCATGCCACAGCAATATATGCACACTCATGTTTATAGCAGCACAATTTGTAATAGCTAAGTCTTAGAAACAGCCCAGATGTCCATCAACAAATGGATAAAGAAAATGGCTTTTATACATGATGGAGTACTACTTTGTCATAACAAAGAATAAACCTGAGACATTTTTAGGTAAACGGATGTACCTTGAGAACATAATTTTAAGTGAAATAAACTGTACACACACGTTTAAATATTGCACTCTTTCTGTTATGTGAGAAATCCAAATGGTGAATAAAGACCAAAATGGTTGATGGATATCGGGAAATAGGAAGAATTGAAGAGGAACAGAGGAAGGTGACGTGGGAAAGGAAAGAAAGGAAAAAATGGAAACAGATTTTGCCAATAGGGTGGGGAAGAAAGGCTGAAAATAGGGGAGAGGAAGGGAAGAAAAGAAGAATCAAGATATAATATGTTCAGGTAGAAGTACCCTATGATGTTTGTGAATATTATGCACACCAAAAGTATACCAATAAAATTAGTATTAAAAAAACTGGCCATAGACAATATAATACCACTATGACTCAAAAAGTGCTTTTCTTAAAAACAGGAGATTACAGAATGTAGAAGAACTAGTCTCTACAAGCAGGGTTCCAGAAACTCTATACTTACTCAAACTGAAATTAATAAAAGAAAGCAAAGTACTGCAAGCTAAGTGTCACATAAATAATTCATGTGAATAATAACCTTGTTTGAAACCATTCTTGGAAAGAACTAAAAGCTGTACTGTAACCACAAAGTAATTTTTTGTACCCAGCTTCATTTTGTTTGTCTATACAGCAGTAATAAAATATAAGTTAATTTCATTCCCAAGTCTGAACTATCTCATACTATAGGAAACTTACTAACTTGTAAGTAAAAAAGGACCCCGTACCAAAAAACAGGAGTGCAAAAAATGCAAACAATTTTTCTTCCTATTTTATTTTCATCCCACACATGTGTGTTGTGTAGATTTTTACTGACAGTGTGGAACTGAAGAGGTTTAGGCCTCACCAGCTGCATCTTTTACTGCCGTTTCCTAGGGCCCTCAAGACCTTTTTGCTCTTTAACATTCCAAACCCATTTCCTTTCTTACACAAGGGCATTCTGCTTCTCCACCCTATATACTCTAACTATCTCAGCTTTGTTAACCTTCCTTATCAATTCATTCTGGTAAACTTCACTTACATTTGTAAGTACTTTTAAAAGGCACATACTTTAAATTTACCTGGGAAGCCTGTTGAATTTGTGTCTGACAAGAGCACACTTTCCACCACATTTTTCACAAGAATACTCAAGTTCTTCTGCCTATAAAAAGAGAAGAGGGGAAAAAAAGGGATGAAACTGAATCAGCATTAACTCATCATATGCAAACAATTTTACTAGTTCAGTAGAATAATGTCTGAACCAGTTTATTAAACTTTGTGTTTTGAGCCAAAAGAATTACTAAATTAAGACTTAACCTCTGGGCTGGGGATATAGCTCAGTGGTACAGCACCTGCCTGGTAAGCACAAGGTTCTAAATTTTATCCCCAGCACCCACCAAAAAATAAAAGACTGAATCTTTAAAACAGTTACATGATAAACCCATTGAGAATTCCTAATTCTTTCTTTACCAAGGAAACATCTCAACTTATGATAGTAAATAGACTCTCAAGTAGCATATTCTTACTTTTCCCCATGGATACACATGAACTGTGGCCAAAAGTGTATCTAGATTTTAATATTCGGCTATAGCACAGATAAGATCATCTTCAGGTTAAGCGGAGTTCCTGGTCTGTTAGGTATAACTCTACCCCTTTCTTATAATGGAAATCAATCTTCTGGTGACAGTCCATAACTGCTCTAAAAGGACCAAAGTTTGGGGTGAATATCATCTAGAGGAAACTGAAACAAGAAATGCTTAAAAAAAAAATGGAGATAAAGATACAAAGGATAATCTTCAGCCTATGATAATTATAGAAATAGTAGAGAATAAAAAGAAAAAAGCAGAGTACTTATCTTTGAGTAGAACTGAATACTTATCATTTAAATAATATATTTGAGGGGGCTGAGGATTTAGCTCAGCGGCATAAGCGCCTGCCTTGCAAGCAGACAATCGTGAGTTCGGTCCCCGATACCGATTAAAAGGAAAAAGACAAAAAAAAAAAAAATATATATATATATATATATATATATATATATATATATTTGAATTTTAACCTCTAGGAAGACAACAGTGACAATTTGCTAATAAAACAAGGACCATCAGCATAAAGATGGAAGAGGGATCCTGGCAAATTTCCATCAGTTATAAGATCTGATATACAGGGCTGGTGATTTAGCTCAGTGGCATAAGCGCCCGCCTTGCAAGCCCAGGGTCATGAGTTCGATCCCTGGTATAAACAAACAAGTAAACAAACCCCAAAAACCCCAAAGATCTGCTATATATATAACAGGTCTGATTAGGGACCACATACTTTTTGAATACCTGAGGGTATTATCACAGATACAAACATTTATCTACAGCTTTGGATAAACATGGTCATTCCCTGCTTGATCCTAACAGACTACACACAACTGAAAGAAAAGCAAGGAGTCTTAGTATACCAACTTACATAGCATTACCAATTTTATGACATGAAATTTTGGCATGTCACCTCAAATGCCTTAAATTAGTATTTTTTACAAATAATAAGCCATTTCTAAACTTGTCTAAAATAGCTGCTGTGGAATTGAAGGTACAATGTTTAGTTTTCTTCTTCGGTAAGTTACAATCAGATTTATCAAGCTTTGTAAAATAAGTATTTATAAACACTTCTCATTTGCTTACTTTGGAATAATCTGTTTGAAATGCTGCTTTAAAAAACAAACTTAAAGCACTTTGGAGGCTAAGGCAGGAAGATTGCCGTGGGCTCAAGGCCAGCATGGACTACATAATTGACTTTAAGAAAGGGTGAACTACATAGGGAGACTCTGTCACCCAAACAAACCATCCAAAAAGAAAAAATCCACAACACAGTATGTAAAATATAGTCATGTGAAAATACCAACAGTATTACCCTAAAGAAAAGATCAAGAGAATCTTGAATTGAGCGTGGAGGGAGTGGCTTTTTCCTACGAGGAAGGTCGATGGAGAGGTCATTAAACTGTTCTCTTTTGGGGATAGTCTCTCCACATCTGTAAAAAGACAAACACAGGTATTTAGAGCAATGAAAAAAATACAAATATTCTTCCCCACAGAACTCAAATTGCTCATGGTAAGTATAAGAAATAGACAACATTTGAGACATTTTTGTTTTGCTTTTTACAGCACTGGGGGTTGAGCCCAGAGCCTCATCCATACTAGGCAAGTGCTCTCTACCACTGAGCCCACCCTAGGCCTTTTAAGTTCTATTCTTAAGACAGTATAGTCAAGTTGCCCAGGGTTGGTCCCACACTTCAGATCTTCCTGCCTTAGCCTCCAAGAAGCTCAGACTACAGGTGAGCACCACCATACCCAGCAAGACTATTTTCATGTTATTTTAAACCTTATTAAATTTATACAGATAAAATTTAAGGATTTTTGGGGGATTGAACTCAGGACTTTGCACTTGCAAAAACTTTCTTAAAGTGCTTAATTTTAAATTTTCGTATTTTCATAAAACTCCAAACTTTAAAAGGCTAAAACGTAACATATACATAGATGAATGAACCAGTTATGCTTTTACAGGTTGGTGAGTTAGCAGAGTTAACACAGATACATAATCACTACTCAAATCAAGAAACAGAATACTATTCACTCCCTGACAACCCCTTCAAATACTTCTCCCGAATTACTACTCTCTTTCTTTCCACAAAAGGTAACACTTAATCTGATTTCTAACACTGTGATTTGAGTTTTGCCTGTTTTTGAATATTATACAATCATACAGAATGTTTGCTGTTTTACTGTAACCACAGTACATTTTCTTTTATCGAGCCTTTTTGGTCAACTTGATTGGAAGATTCAACTCTGGCAGATGCACTTGAATACAGCCCATTTTTATTGGTGTTTCATGTTCATCTGTATGACTAATCCATTATCACTACTGAAGGAAACTTACAGTTTCCTTTTTCTGTCTATATAAATAATACTGCTTTGACAATTCAATGTGTTCTCAATGCATATGTATAGGCACTTCTGTTAGCAGAAATGTTTGGTTATTGGAAATATTGTTATGTAACTTTTTTAAAAAAGGATTCAGATATCAAAACATAATATTCAATTTACCTGGAAGCAAATTTATTTATTTTTATAGTTTTAGCTGACTGCTTTTCATGTGTCACCCACACCAACATTTTTAATAATGCTCAATTCTTAGCCCCTGTTCCATTCTGCCACAGTTGAGACTGGGATCATAAGAAAATGTGTCTTTTTATTTAACTGAGGCTCTGACTGGCAGAATGTACACAATTCCATATACTCGAGTATGGGTTGAGTCTGGGAGACAAGGAGTTACCACTCCTATGACAATGATACTTCACAGGGTTAAGGAATTCTTAGATGTAACTGTAGTTATTAATCTTGACTCTGAGTTAATCAAAACGGAGATTATTCATATGGGTCAGATCAAATTACAAAGCCCCTCTATCTAGGTTACAGGGTAAAAACAGGAAATGCAGGATTAGAAATGAGACAAATGCGCATCTACTAGTCTGGAAAAATCCAAATAGCACGGTCATGAATTACCTAAGGGATGACCCAGCAAAGAACTGAAGAAGCTTTTAGGAAGTGAATTATCCCAGCCCACAGCTTGGTAGTTGTGGTACCACATTTTCTCAGTAACCCACAGCTACCACGAAAATGTGGATACCAGTCCTATAGCTACAAGGGCCTGAGTTCTTTTTTCCCCAGTGCCTTAAGTTTTTTTTTTTTTTTTAATTTTAAAATGCAAAACAGAAAAAAGAATAGAAACAATACAGAATTTTTTAAAAATAGTAGGAAATTAACATTAGTTAATATATTGCACATTGTTGTCTTAAAAGTAGTTGCTCAGATTACAAGATCTAGGCATAAAAAACAATAAAACAATAAAAGCACAAACTGTTCTCTTTCATGAACAGAGATTAGTAGTAGTTATCTATCATGTATACATTACATATATATGTATACCTATATACATAATTTTTTCCTTCCCCTTATCCCAATTGTTTTTTTTTTTTTTTTTTGAGAGGGGTGGAGAGAAATGCCTGAGTTTTGCCCACAATCATAAAGAATTAAAAAGATCCTCCAGATGTGAACACAAGAGGTAGTAACACCCTGATTTCAGCCTTTTGACACTCTGAGTGCAGAAGCTGGCTACACTGTGCCCAGATTTCTGATGTACAGCACCATGAGTTAGTAAATGAGTACTGTTTCAGGCCAGGATGTTTGAGGAAATTTGTTAGCACTGAAAAATTAATACAGCCTCTTACTTGCCAGAAGCACTGGGTGACAGCAGCGAATAAACCAGTAAATAAACCAAAGCATCACCTTTCCTCATGATGCTTTCATTGTACTGAGGGAAAGATAATAATGAAGACACACAAGTAAAACATACAATATGTTAGATAATAACACAGGGTAAGGAAGAAAAACAGTAGGAAAGAAATAAGCTAAGGGTTGAAATAGGTTAGAATTTCAGAATGGCAAAATGCCTATTTGAGCAAATAGTCTTTAATTTCTAGTGCTGGTCATTGAAGCCAGGCCACTGTATGTGTTATGCACACTCAATCACGGAGTTACACTCTCAGCAGAGATTATATAGGGTGTTTTTTTTTTTTTTTTGTCTTTTTCCTTTTTATCAGTACCAGGGATCGAACTCACGACTGCCTGCTTACAAGGCAGGCGCTTATGCCACTGAGCTAAATCCCCAGCCCCATTATATAGGGTTTTATAGGCTGACACAAACTAACTTCCATTTTGAAAGGATCACTCTGGCTACTGTGGTTAGTTGCAAGGATTTACTGACAGATGAGAGAGATGTGGAGTATGAAAGAAAGAATTAAAAAAATGCTTCAGGGGACATAAAAGGAACAGAAAGGTGTTACGTACATGTACCAATTCCCCATGATGAATGTAATCACTATGTATTGCAAATATGTACTAACAGAAAATTTAAAAGTATAACATTTCTGGACTGATAAACTTTACATATGGAACTGTGATTAACGACATAGGAAAGATTGCAGTGTAAGTTTTGAGGGGAATATTGGGTTCTTTAGTTTAAGATATTTTAAGTTCTCTGAGTGAAGAATTTGTAACAATTCTTCAAATTAAGAATATATTAACAAACTCAACTTCCCAATAAAATTTAAAAAGCAGACAATTTAAACTGTAATAGATTAAAAATTAACTATACTTGCCAAATTTATCAGACAAATGTATAGCCAGATAGGGGAGAAGATAAGCATGCAAATTACAATTGAAAGGATAAAGTATGTGGAACCTTGCTTTAGCCAGAAACAATTCTGTGTTTAGAATATTGTTCTAATTTACTAATAAAACAAATGAAACAAGGTCTTCAAACAGCTAAGTGTGCTATTGTTGCTACGGCCTCTCTCAGGACCAGTGCAACTGCCCAGCCTGCTCAGTGCTGCTGTGCATATATCCCACGATCTCACACTGCTTCCTGCACTGGGCACTTACTTCAACACCATTCCCAACATCTGAGTGCTGCACACTTACGCCAGACTAATGGCATTGGCACAGTGCTTTACATGGCTTGCTTTCTGCGTGATCCCAATGCCTCTCCACCAGAGATGAGCATGGACATGGTGAGCTGCCAGGGGCCATTTCCAGTTTTAGGTAATTCGTTGTTAAAACAGATTTGAATCATTCCCTCACAATTTAATAAAATAACCAATGAAATCTTTGCATCTATGATTCGCATCAAATTTTGTTTGGAAAGTACATTAGAAGGAAAGGACAGATTGCTGTCTGTTGTATTAAACGCTCTTAAGACTTTTTATTCAGAAAATCATTTACTCACTAGGGCAAAATAGCACTAAAGACATCCAGAGGAAGAAATGTCACAGACTTGTGATGCAAAACACTTTCCCTCTCTCCGTACTAGGGACTGAATGTGAACTCAAAGGGCTCTACAACTAGTGATAACTCCAGCCCTCTTTACTTCTTTAGGATTCACTACACTGTTTAGACTGGTGGGGCCAGGGATACAGCTCAGTGGCACAGCACCTGCCTGGCAAATGCAAGGTCCTGAGATCAATTCCTTGCATCTAAATAAACAGTCCAGGCTGGCCTTCAACTTGTGATCCTTCTGCCTCAGCCTCATAAGTATCTGAGATTACAGGCAAGCACAAGCTATTATTTTACAGTATCTACATGCACATTCAAAATTCTAGTCAAAAACACTAGTGTTATAGCTGTAAGAGACCTGAGTGGACATGATCACTTTGAGCAATCTAAGACAGGTATGAAAGAGAACTGTAGAACCAAACTCTCAGTTTTTTTGTTTTGTCTTTTTCATTTTTATCGGTACCAGGGATTGAACTCACGACTGCCTGCTCGCAAGGCAGGCGCTTATGCCACTGAGCTAAATTCCCAGCCCCTAAACTCTCAGTTTTGAGTACTTCTGAAGAAAATTCTTTTTTTTTTTTCCTAAAGAAAATTCTAAAGCAAATGCAATAGAAGTGATATTCAGAGAACAGTTTTCTTGAGCTAAAGAAAACAAATCTCACCTGGAACTAGAAGAGATTTAGAATAGCAAAGGTAATCCTGGGCAACAAAGGCAAGACAGGGGGCATCACAATCCCTGACTTGAAATTATACCATAAAGCTACTGTGATACAAACAGTGTAGTATTGGCACCAAAACAAACAAACAAAAATAGACCTAAAGATCAATGAAACAAATTAGAAGATGCAGAAACAACTCAAGACACACTAAGCCACCTTATCTTTGACAAAGGTGCCAAACACATTCACTAGAAGAACAACAGCCTCCTTAATACATGGTGCAAGAAAAACTAGACCCACATCTTTCACCACGCACTAAACTAAATGCAGAGTGGATCAAAGATCTGAATACTAAAACAAACACTAAATCTGCTGGAAGATGGAGTAGGTAAAACTCTTGAAGACACTGGTGTAGGGAAAGACTTTATGAACAAAATGCCGATTGCACAGGAACTAAGATTTCATCCTATTAAAAAGCTTTTGCACCGCAAGAGAAATCACCAACAGTGAAGAGACAACCCACAATGTAGGAGAAAATGTTTGCCAGCTGTTCCTCAAAGGATTATTATCTCAAAAAAAATCAGTCCTTCCAGATTTAAAGACCCAATCCAAAAATGGGCATCTGAGATGAATACACACTTCTTTATGAAGACATATAAACAGCAAATAAATATGTGAAAAAATGTTCAACATCACTGGTCATTCAAGAGATGCAAATTAAAACAACCCTGAGATTCTACCTCACCTCAGAAAGAATGGCTGTTATCAAGAAATCGAGCAATAGTAAATGCTGGAAGGGCTGTATCATTCTCCATTGTTGGTGGAAGTGCAAAACAGTGTAACTGCTGTGCAAATCAGTGTGGAAATTTCTCAAAAAGCTAGGACTACAGTTCCCATTTGACCCAGCTACTTCCTTTCTGGAATACCTTCCCAAAAGAATTAAAAACAATATACCACAGTGATACATGTGCACCCATGTTTATAGTAGCACAATTTGTAATAGCTAGATCTTGGAAATAACCCAAATGTCCATTGACTGAGGATTGGGTAAAACAGATGTGGTATTTTTATACAATGGAGTATCACTCAGCCATAAAAGACAAACTGAAGACTTTTATAGGTAAATGGATGCAACTTGAGATCAAATTCATAAGTGAAATAAATCAGACACACGTGTAAACATCCTATTGTCTCACTAATGCAAGCTGAAACATATACATACGTATAAATATATATATATACTCATATTTTATTTATAAAAGATAGTTATACTACTGATTTGTCTGAGTTCACTGAAGACAAAGGCTTGTGCTAGTACTGCTCGGACAACTGAATTGAATTCAGATGTCTCATGCTCTGGGTGACTGATCTGGGGATGGCAATGTGCAATGTATGTAAACGTCGTCTCCTGATTTTTGTGTTTGGAAATTTTTTTTTCTTCTTGAAATAAAATAGATTTTTAAAAAACAAAGCATTTTCTAGATGAAAAAAACCCCACAAATCTTCAGATGAAAAAGTTTTATCATACTAAAGGCAAAATTAACAAAAAGTGTGACCACCTTGATGTAAATTAGTGAAACAAAGACTTTGAGAGCCAAAAATGGTATAAAAGTTTCAGGAAGAAATAGAAAAGATTCCCACAAAGTCACATTACTTATGAGTGTCACAGTGTAATAGGATATGATGGGGCAGTGTATATAAAGTGTTAAGGAGTAAAGACTGACACCATAATTCTGTCATGCAGGAAAGCCACAGAAATTATTGTCACTTATGAAACGGCTCTGGAGAAGTCAATTTTCGCTGAAAAGAATTTATTCAGAGATGTCCTATAGATGATTGAAAAATTAATCATAATAAAACCTTTTGAAGAGAAATGTATACTATAAAGTCCTAAACATTAATGTGAAATTAAAAGTAGAGTCAGTCTGAATAAATATTATTATTAACAGAAGGGACAGGGGTATAGCTCAGCAATACAAGTGCCTGCCTGACAAGCACAAGGCTGATGAGTTCAATTCCTAGTACAAAAAACAACAACAAAAATCAAAAACCAAAAACCCACAAAAAAATTATGATTAACATTACTGAAAACATTGTAAAAGTTAAATATAGAATTCAAATGCTGATCTATTTTGTAGAAAGAATAATTGCAATAAAACTAGTTTCATTCAACAAAATAAGGAAGGGGGCCTCCGTAGTGAAAAAGAAGAAAAAACCAAGAATATTGCAAACTATTTAAATTCTCCTCAGTTTTTAGCCCACCAACTCTTCCTACAAAAAGATAAAGACAGAAAAAAGAGGCGTGGAATAAGCAAAGGGTTTTCATTTTCCCCATGATGCAAGTGGGAGGAATAGCATTTGGTGTGTCACAGGAAAGTTTTAATCGTGTGCCAAAAGGAACTGGTGGGAGCCACTGAGATTACTTACGCTTTACAAATAATGGAGTGCTGAACTTCAAACTCCAAATTAGTAATAACAGGGCAAGTGTATACTCTAGTAGCTGAAATATCTGGTGAATTTTCTTCTCCAGGAGTAGGTTCAGTCTTCCAAGTTTTATTTAATTTTTCCATATCCTCTTTTAGCTGGTCTAAACACTGACTTAAAAATTCATGAGCATCCTAGAAAGATAACATCTATCATCAGATCAAAACATTCCTTGTCATAGTGATAACATTAACAATGCAATTTATATAATTAAAGAATTTGGAAGTCAGAGAAATTAAGAGAGTAAGGTCAGATTTATTCTAAAAAGGAACTTAGGGAACAGTTTATGATTAAAAACAAATGACAGCCAGGTGTTGATGGCACATGCCTGTAATCCCAGAACTCAGGAGGCTGAGGCAGGAGGATGGTGAGTTAGAGGCCAGCCTGAAATACATAGCGAGCAAAAAACCAAACAAACAACTCCCCTCCAGCCTCTCTACAAAAAAATGAATGACAAGGGGTAGATGTATACATATGACAAGCTCAGTGGTACAGCACTGGGCAAAGAAATGGGTTTAACCCCCAGAATCACAAGAACAGCAAGTAAGAGCCCAACAAACTGTAAATGCAAACAAATGACACATGTCATATTCTTAAGACATTTAATTGTATTAACAAGAGTGAATTAATGATTCTTCACTTTGCTAAGAAAGAAAAAGTTACCTTTCACAGGCAGATGACAGCTTTATGTCATATGATATGACATAATAATATGATAAAATACACAGAAGAGTCACACTGAACCTCACTGTAACTCCCCAGAGTTTTGAATCCATGATGGCCACATTACACAGATCATATTTTGGTTTTTATTTATTTATTTTTTGTCTTTTTCCTTTTTATCGGTACTGGGGATCGAACTCACGACTGCCTGCTTCCAAGGCAGGTGCTTATGCCGCTGAGCTAAACCTCCAGCCCTCACAGATCATATTTTGAAACAGAAATCAGGTTACAGAGTAAAATTTTTTAATTTTCCTCTATCTCTAAAACATTTAGTAACAATTAATACTCACATTCTGCATATAACCAGAGAATCTCTCTGCTGTAGCTGAAATGGCATTTTTAACCTTCTTGAGTAAATCTTTTTTGGTCTCTGAATTACAGATATCTTTTTTAACAAGCAAGTGTGCAAAACGCCTGGTAAAACAAATGGAACAAGGTCAGTATATTTCACAAAGCACTGAATAGCACGGTATTCTGAAGACTACTAACAATGGTACAATCTTAAGCATTTAAAATTCCATTATTCTGGGGTTGGGGATTTAGCTTAGTGGCATAAGTGCCTCCCTTGCAAGCATGCAGTCGAGAGTTCGATTCCCGGTAAAACTCCCCCCCAAAAAAATCCCATTATTCTGTAATCAATGAAGTAAACAGTAAGAACACAATTACCTGATAAGTGCATTGAGTGGAATTTTCTTCCAGGGGATACCTTGTTTAAGTAAGTCATTTGCAAACGACTGGAGTGAAAACAGAGATTGTAAAATAGCATTCATATAGCACGTATTTCCCAAATTGGAGAACCTGAAAAAGAAACAGTGCATGAAGAATGCTTAGTAGACAGCAGAGGTAGCTCTGAAGTACAATCAGCACAATATAAAAGACTTCTCTATTTTGGTCCACATCAGAATCACCTGGAAGGTATGTTAACACATATCACTGAATCCCAGCCTCAAGTTTCTGATTTGGGTCTGGACAGAGAAAGTGTGAAAATATGTAATTCTAACAAGATCATTCTACTCTACTGACTCATCTATGCATCAGTACAGTTTTAATTATAACAAATTTGTAATTATTTTTAAGTATTGGCAGGGCTATTCTCCTTAGTAGCTATTTCTACTCACAACTCTTCTAGATATTTGTATTCATTTTTCTGTACAAATTTTTCCACACGGTATATCACCTAGAGTTTCTGAGTCTTTCATTTGTAATTCCTATGCTCTACTTTCTTCCTATCTAAGTGCAGTGAATAATACCTGCATTACAATATTCATCAGAAGCAAAGCACTGGAGCTGTAGCACAGTGATACAGCAGCTGCCTTGCTCAATCCTCAATACCAGAAAAAACTAAAGTAAAATTAGCAAAGACAGAAAAACAAAACAACCCAATCAACTACAACAGAGATAAAAACAGTAGATATCCTTGACTTGTTCCTGATCTTAAGTAAAATACTAGGACTAAAGTATACATTTAGAGAAGAAAGGATACATGGCTTCCTATTTTCTGAAGCATTTTTTAAAAATCAGAAATGGGCATATTTTATCAAAAGGTTTTTCAGGACATGAGTAAAATAATACAATTTTATTCTTCCGACTTATTAATCCAATTTTATGAATTCCAAATTATGGACTATCCTTACAATTCTGGCATAAACATATTTGGACACAGTACATTATTTTATTTTAGATGAGGTCTTGCTACATTGCCCAGGTTATCTTGAACTCATGGGTCCAAGTGAACCTCCTTCTCTGGTATCTCAAGTGGCTGGGACTACAGGGACGTGGCACCATATCCAACTTGTGTATTTTCTTCATGTGATACTGGATGGAGTCTGTTTATGAGGACTCTTTGCAGTAATTTTTGCAACTGATATTGGTTTATACTTTTGTATGAAATGGGTTTAGCTATACTTGCTTTCTAAAAGCGAGTAGTGGAAGTTTTCCTTCATTTTCTAAACTTTGAAACAATTTATGATCTCTAAAAATGTCAATGAATTTCCCTGTGAAGTCACTTGAGCCTGGTGCTTTTTCTGGGTGGGAACTCCCTGATAAATTTTCCTTTCTATGGAAAATAGTCTGAATTTTCTAACTCTATGGGATAAATCTGAATAAACAGTATTTCATTTAAATTTTCAAATTCTTTTTGGAACATACAAAACTCTCATGATTTAAAAACTTTTTATCAATAGGGCCTTGGAGTTTAGGTAGGTGGTAGGATGTTTGTCTAGCAGATGGGAGGCCTTTAGTCCTCGGCACCAAAATATTAAAAAGCTAAAAAAATTTTACCAATAATTTTTCTTTAAAAATAGGCTGACATTTTATTTTTAATCAGATTTTATTGCTACACTTTAGATATACATAATGATCACATTCATTAGAGAATTTGTACCTGTATGTGATATAATTTGCTTTTTTCTACCTTGCCTTACCCTTCTTTAAACCCCTTTTTATCATAATTATTCCTTTGTCATTTTGGGTTTTTTTAAGAGAAAGAAAGGTTTATTCTTGCACAATTTCTTTTATTGTGTGTATTTGTGCCTCCTTCCTAGACTGACTAAAATTCCAGTGATTTACTTGTTCTGTTACTTTTTTAAAGTAACTAAAAACATTTACATATAGTATCTTAAACATGTATTTTGGGTATGACAATGACTATTTTATTATAGTTATTAAACTATGACTCATTTTTGTTTTTAATAAGGATATAATCACAAAAGCACTGTGATAGCAACTAGATAGCAAATTTAATTTTGAAAGTACCTCATGAGTATGACTTCATCAATGGATTGGACACTTTTTTCCTTTAAAATGAATATATGTATTTCCTCGTGTATTTCAAAAAGTTTTAAAACTGTTTACAAATCAGATAATGAACTTAATATTACGGATTTGGTAAATCTATAGTAAGTTATCTAACATGGGGGGTTGAGAGAGGTCTCAATTTGTGATGATCTTGCCTCAGGCTTCACAATGTGGGATTATAGGTGTACATCACAACATCCAGAAAATTATCTAATTCCTAAATATTTTAGAACTGTATGTAATCTGATTTTTAAAAAAATAAAACGTAAGTCAGGTGAATCCCTTTATTAAAAAAAAAAAAAAAAAGGAAAAGAATTTACCTACCCTTGTAGTTGCTGCTGTTGATGAGAAGAAAGGGGCACTCTTGGTTTGTTCCAGCCAGTATAATCCTGGTTACATCGAAGTTTTTTAACAGAAAGAGGAACTGGCTGAGGAAGAAATCCCAAACTTCTTTTGGCAGAGGGTGTTTGGCTTGAAACATTAGTCCTATAAAAAAAAGGAAAGATGATGCAAGGTAAGTTTTGCATGCCTTTTCCCTCTTAATTCATAGAAGTCAGGATCTCTTTTTTTTTTTTTAAAGAAGTCAGTATCTAAGGAAAACATTCTCTAAGTTTGGAAAATATGATAAGGGTCACTAGGAGAAAACTTGCAATGTAAATGAAGTCTGCTAACAGAGTGCTAAAGAAGCTTAAGACCAGACTGTGCATATTTAACCTACAACCAACATAATCCAAGTTGATGGCTTGAGAAAGGTAGGCATTCCTCCCACCACTTTATGAACATCACACATTAGTTTATCTAGTCTTGGGCAGACTTGGGCAGTCAACTTTTCCTACCACTACAAATAATGAATTCTTTTTACTCAAGCTCTTTGGGAAAGTCCTCTAGTTTAAGTTTAAAACTGAAAATACTAGGGATAGTTCTAATTTTCCTGGACCCTGTGATTATTTTCTCAAAAGGAACAATTAATTTATACCTCCACTGACACTGAATTTCCATTCCCTCACATCTCCATTATTTGTTCTTAGAAGTTTTACTTTTTATAGAATAGTGACATATGATCTCACTGCTACTTTGTACTTTCTTGATTACTACAGAAATTGAACACACAAGTGATGCCCTGGTTCACAAATTCAATTTTCTCCACAATTCTGGTCCCAAACCACTGGACAAGAACCACAGCATAGGGTGTTCATCATAAGGTCACCAATGAACCTATCTATTGAATTTGATTTGGTTCTTGTCCAATTCAGTTTGGGACCAGAATTGTGGAAGGCATCAAGTCTGTGAACCAAGGTACCATTGCATTTTTTTTCACTGTTTTTTCTTTTCTTCCTTCCTTCTTTCCTTTCTTGTGGTTCCCTGATACGATGTCTTGCTGTGTATTCCAGGCTGGCCTCGAACTCACAGCAATCCTCCTGCCTCAACCTCTCGAGTGCCGAGATTACAGATCTATGCCACCATACCCAGCTGTTTACTCTTCTTTCTAAACTGTTTTTCTTTATCCTGAGTTTTATATAGGGTTCTTAATGACCTGGAGTTCTTTATATATTCTATGTACTAATTGTTGGTCTATTATATATCCTAAACTCAAATTTTTTAGAGTCAAAGTGCTGGGATTACATTCATGCGCCACCACCTCCAGTCTTCTATCCTTCAGCTTCCAGTCTTTCAGCATCTCTACATTATAGCTGGTGCTCTTTAACAGAGAACAAAGATTTTTTTTTTCTTCTTTAAAACTCATTCCATCTTTCTCTTACATCTAGGTCACTGATACAGTTGGAGTTAATTTTAATACATAGTATTAGGGAAGATATCCAAGTTCATATATATACACATACATACAATTAACCTTCCTGAACCATTTGTTGAAGGATTTATTTCTTTTACCTTTTTTTTTTTTTTTTTTTTTTTTTTGTTTTGAGATAGGGTCTTGCTACGTAATTCAGGCTAGCTTTGAACTCACTATGTAGCCCAGGCTAGCCTAGAACTTGTGGAAATCCTTCTGCCTCCCAAGTCCTGGAATTAAAGGTATATGCCACCACACCCAGCTGAAAGGACGACTTTTAGCCCATTCAATATTTTTTTTTAAATAATCCTTTTCTTTCAGCCTATTTTTGTCTTTACATTTTAAGCAGGCTCCTTGTATATATCAGTACTTGAGTCTGGTTTGTGCCTCCATGGCCTTAGGCTTTGTTAAGTATTAGTTTTTTCACCAATCTGAAATTTTCACATTATCTTTGAAATAAAAATATTTTTCCTCAAATATTCCTTTATAAAATATGCTGATTTGATCATTTTGATAAGACATGCCTGGCAAGTGCAAGATTGTGAGTTCAATCCCTGGTACCAAAAACAAACAAACAACAAAAAAGCAATATAAAGGTGTCTTAGAGATGACACTTGGTATGCTTATCATTAGAGAGGCTAGATAATACAACACACGATACGCTAACACTGAAGTCACAACCATTAGACTCAGTACAAATCTTTCCAGACCTTCGTTTGTTTGTAGAAAAACTTTAAAACATTTCTAGAGTACGTTCTGTCTGAAGTGTTATGATACTGTAAGTCTCAACTTTGGGGAGTGGGAGAGTGCAGATTGACCCAGTGCCTCATGCAAGCTACACAAACATTGTAACACTCATTAGTTTTCTATTCTTTTTTTTTTTGGTCTTTTTCAGACAGGGTCTTGCTATGCAGTTTGGGCAGGTCTTGAACTCGTTTTGTAGTCCAGGCTGCTCTTGAACTTTTAATGATCCTCCTGCCTCAACATCCCGAGTGCTGTGATTGCAGGCAAGCACCACCATACCCGGCTCTAGTTTTCTATTCTTAAATTAGGGTATTCTTAGAGCATAATTCATATCCTGCCCCATCATTCAATATTTTGAGAGAGAGTGCTTCTTTTTTTTTAAAACAGTAAGTATATTTGAAAAGGAAAGGTGAGGGGGTAAGGAAGCAAGCAACAGGCTCTGCAGAACAAACCTGGACAGAACAGGATAGAAATGAGAAAAGCAAAAAAAAAAAAAAAAAAAAAAAAAAGAAAGAAAAGAAAAGAAAAGCAAAAAATGAAGGTACAACCTGGGTTTGGAAGAGTCAGGGTGGGCTACTGTTTAGAGTCATGGTAGCCTGAAAAAGAGAGCTCTTCAAATTTTTCTTTCTTTCTTTTTTTTTTAAAATCAGTACCTGGGATCGAACTGCGCTAAACCCCCAGCTCCTTCAAATTTTTCATAAGGCATCGAGACATAGCTCAGTGGAACAGCACCTGCCTGGCAAGCACAAGGCAGTGAATTCAATCCTTGGTAACCATTCCAACTAAAAGAGAGTCAATTTTTTTGCAAGGCATATGACTCCTACATACCTATCTAGGTTATTGACACTAGATGAATAATCCTTGGATCCAGCTCTGCTTCCATAAAATGATGATGACTGCAAAGGTAAAAGCCCTAAGAAACATAATAGTTTAGTATCTAGATTAATCATTCAATTTCATTTAATAATAAAATTACACATTGGGTATGTTTACTTTCAACTCTGTTTTCCCCTTATCATCAAAGTAAAACACAATCATGTTAAAAAGAGATTAAGTACTGTAGAAAAAGTTACAATAGCAAAGCACTATTTCCTGCTCCAATACTCTCCAAATTGCTAAGTTTATTTTTATTTTTAGTTTTTTGAGACCGGGTCTCAACCATGCATTCCAAGTTGGCCTTGAAAACTCTACTGGTAGGTAGCAGGGGGTACCCTGCACTCAAGGCAATCCTTCTGCCTAAGCCTCCTGAGTGCAGGGATTACATACATGTGCCACTACACTCAGCTTCTAACTATTTTAAAGAAGTTTTTCTGGGGGCTGGAGATTTAGCTCAGTGGTGTAAGAGCCTACCTGGCCAAGCGCAAGTCTTGAGTTCCATCCCTGGTACCAAAAAAAAAAAAAAAAAAGTTTTTCTGACCTCTTCCATAAAGCTAGACAGTACATTTCCACTACTTCATGATTTATTCATTCTAAACACTAGAAGTTTCTCATAGCACTCTAAATTGAGATCCAGGAAGATCTGAGGCAATCTAGACTTGTTCTCTCCTAACCAATTATTACACGTGTTATGCTAGTTATTCTAGTGATTAATGGTAGAAGTCAAATGTATTTAAAACTTCTGCATTTTGTTTCATGGATTCTCTTGTAACTTTACTATGCATTTCGTTCTCTCACTTTACCCCTTTCACTGCAATATTTTTTTTCTTCTGGGATGCCGGAGATTGAACCCAGGGTCTTATACATGTTAGACAAGTATTCAACCACTGAGCTACATCTCCAGACCCTACATCAACTTTTGTAAGAAAATTTTTAACTTCAACACTGCTAAGACTTTTTATATAATTTTCTGTTTTCTAACTATCAGTTGATTATAAAAGCTAAAAACTGGTAAGTGGAGATTATACTTCACGTATTAATATTTCAGAGGTAAAACATTAGACAAGTCTTTCTTATAGTGGCCAATGTTATAATCCCAAACCACTAAAAGAACATTACTAGAAGCTGAGTCTTCAAGTAGTCTTTTTTTTTTTTTTTGGATACTAGAAATTGAACTCAGGAGCTCATGCTTGCCAACCAGGTGACGTGCCACTGAGCTAAATCCCTGGCCCTCAAATTATCAGTTTATCAGTTATCAAATTATAAATTATCAGTTTATCAAAATCATGACATATTTTAGCTTGCTTCAACTTAATTTTAAATTGATAAAACATTAAAATCAACAAAAGATATCTGAGTCTCTAAAGACTTCAGAAGCCCAGAAATATAGGTAAAGTGTGGGAAATATTTGACAAAAATGCAGTCTTTACTCCCAGTGCAATGGCAGGCAGAAAAAATGACCTCCAGGATTTGGATGCAGATTTATTTTACCAGTGGGCACTGATCACGATCATTCCCAAAATACCAGGCCCTAAAGCTTCAGGGAGGGAGGTTTTTATGGGGCCTGCAGGGTGAAATACAAAGGCACTTTGCTGTTTTGACTGCTCTTACAATATGTATCATAGTGACCAGCTATGCATCACCCTGACCAGCCATTTCTAGGAAACAAACAACAGTTACCAGGGCAATTGACAAACTGAGGTCTACTGGCTGGGAGGGGTGGTGGGGGTGGTAGTGGTGGTTCTGTAACACTCAATTTTTGTAAAACCAGAGTATAAAGCAATCTTAAATGCTTTAGGTAATAATTTCAAGTTCTCCCACATAAAACTTTCTCATTTGCAGAAGCACCAATGAAACAATTTCAAAGTTTATCTCCTTTAATTGAGCCTACGATCTAAGTACTATAACAATGAAACAGCTTAATTCCAGACAATCAAATTGAGTAAGGAAGTTAAATCTAGACTAATACTATATTCACTAGTTCTGAGTAATGCAATAGTGTATGTCCCACTTTACATTTTTACTTCAATATATTATATCATATGAATATCTTACATAAAGACCCAACTTACCTGATGTCCGATTTTCTTCAGACTGTTTCAAACTCAACTGCTTTTCTCTACTGCTGATTAAATACTTTCTTGAGGGATCTGTCATAACTTTGTTGTTCCTATAGTTTTAAATAATAATTTTACATCACTGAAGAGATACTAAAAATCAGCAGGCTAACTTGTCAGATAGAAATCAGCTCATCTTTATCCTCAGCTATTCAAATATGTCTATAAAGTGTCTATTAATAAAACAGTCATGGCAACAGAGACAAAAACTATAGTATGGGCTTCCCTTCATGAATATTTTAACTACTGCTGCTGGCGTTTTTTGCTTTTTCATTTTTGTTTTCAAGAAGTAGGAACAGACTCCAGGGTCTCTTGCTTGCTAGGCAGGTACTGCACCCCTGAGCCACATCCCGGGCCCTAGCTACTGCTGCCATTGTATAGCCCAACTGGTCAGCAGCAGGAGCTGATGTGAACATGATCCAGTACCATCCTCTCAGAAAATCAACTGAACATCTGAAAGCAAATGGTTTTGTCTGAGTCTTTTCACTGTAGAAAAGACAACAATTGGGCCTGGGGATTTAGCTCAGCAGCATAAGCGCCTGCCTTGTAAGCAGGCAGTCGTGAGTTCGATCCCTGGTACAGATAAAAAGGACAAAGACAACAATTAATACTAAGTAGGTATGTATTTGTCTTCATATATCCAGTGCCTTGGCTAGAATTATTATCTGAGGTCTCATAAGAATAACTAATTTTCTAACCTGAAAACTCATGTATTATTATTTAGGAACAATACTCTATAGAAAAAGAGGTAAGACAAGAGCCTCTGGCCCTATCACATTTGGTAACACTCTAAAGCTGTTAGTTTGACAAAGCATTGCAACAGCTTTTTTAAAAGTACCACTCAGAGATAATCTTATTAGAAATGAGATGCCCTTTAAAATATAGTACACATGGGTTGATATTCCATATCCAAAATGTTTGAGATTAGAAGTGCTATATATTTTGGAATGCTGACATATGTATCTTAGGGATGGAAACGAAGTTCCAAACACAATTCATATATACCTTGTACACAGAGCTTCAAAGTAGTGTTATATAAGATATTTTAAGTGCACCTGTGTTCTGCACACCATCTGTCAAGTGGTTAGATGTGAAATTTTATTTATTATTTTGGTGCCTGAACTCATGGCCTTGCATTTGCCAGGGGCATACTGTACTGCTGAGCTACATTTCCAGCCCCAGATGTGAAATTTTAGCATCATGTCAGGACTCAGTAGTCTCCAATTTTGCAGCATTTCAGATTTCATATTTTTGTGGTAAAGATACTTAATCTGTTCTTAAATCAACAAATCATTACATTTATAAACAATATACAGGTCCAGAAACCAAGGAGCAGAAATAGCAATAGTCTTTTATGCTATAATTTTTAATAACTCACCTGAAGAATTTGTGCTTTTTATCATTCAAATTTAGATACCATGGGGTCCTACTTCTAAGATGGTAAGTTTTTCACCAGGAGGCATAGTAAGCGTAATTAAACCTAATGACATGGCTGTTACCTAGTTATTTTGGGCTTTTCATGCTTGCAGATCAACAGGCAAAGAAAGGAGTTATCATATTAGCAGGAGTAAGTGATTATTATAAAGAGGAAATGCTGCTGCTACACAGTGAAGACAAACAGTGACTAGAATAATGGAGATTCACCAGAGTATTTCTTAGTGCTCTCATGCTTATGCAACATGGTTCTCACATCACTTTAACTGGCAATGAGCTCAACAGTGACCTGACCATAACCAGGGACTCAGATCCCTCAGATGTGAAGACTTCAGACCAGGCCAACCATTAAGACTGAAAGCATTGGTAGAGGATTACCAAAAGATAGAAGGGGTAAAGGAAGATATCAGCTATCCCTCAAGGCCATGTGCAGCAATGTACTCTATCTCAGTCCACTTTAAGCCTTGTTTTGTAAGATTCTCCCCTGAAGTTGAGAAGTAACAGTGTGAGGAATCTATGGCAAGAAGGAATGAACTTAATGAGTATGACCAGAACTAAATGGTGTAGGCAGAGGAGAGAAGGACTGCCTCTGTTCCTTTTTTGTGGTGCTAAAAATTGAAGCCTGACTCTTATGTGTGCTAGCCACGTACTGTTACTACCAAGCTACTCCCAGACTAAAAAGGTATTTTGTTGTTTCTTTTTGGTGGTGGAGCTGATTGAAGCCAGGGTCTTGTGTATGCTAAGCACTGGCTTCCTCAGAGCTACATTCCCTAGACTACCATCTTTTTAGTGGACAATGCTCATGTTCCATCAGAGCTCCTCAGAACCTTTTATTATCCTTTTCATACTACCTGGTTGTTTTCTTTTTTCTTTTTTTTTAATCTGGTTGTTTTCAATGTGTTTCAACAATCAAAACCTGTAGTGTTCAGAAAACTGCATGTAAACTATTTAAAGGATTTTGTCCATTTAGACAGAGCCTAAAACCACAGGGCAGCTGACAACCAAAGACTGTTCAATGTAGTAATAAGAGGGAAACTCTATAGAGATTCCTGCTACATCAAAAGGAAATCTACTCTTGATCACATCCTTGCTTAGCTGTTTCCTCTGCTCTGCCTTCCAATCTTGGCAGTGGCAGATGGTTCTAAATATAGTAGCTTTCGTAACAGAAAAGGAAGAGCATCTTAGGCTAGTCTGGAGCATGGCTCTCAAAATCATTTCTAAAAACTTAGGGCCTATCTTTACAACTTTCCTAACGATTCTATAAACCATTAAATAAATACTCATTATATGCTAAAATCTTTGTGCTTTAACTAGCTAAAGGGAATTTAGCTCCTAATTGAACCTTAAGTAGAAACAAAATTTTGTTTCTAAAAGTGGGATGCTAGCCTAACAAAGACTGTCTTAGGAGGATAGGGGATAAGGATATTGATATACATTACAGACTAAAAAACTGGTAACTATTTCTATGCCTCAGTATACTACTTGATAAAAACTGTTAACTATAATGTCTTGAAAAGCAGATTTTTATCCTCATTGAAACTATACTTTTAAGGACAAAAATAAAAGACAAGAAGATTTGTCTGGGTTAGTGCTTTGCATTCAACAAGATAAATTCAAGCTAGAGCTAGCCAGCTTGCAATCAGGTATGAAAGCTCTCTGTGCCACTGGCCTAGAATCAAAGCTGCTTAATAATTTGAGACCACAAAGAACCAAAAATTTCAACCTCTTCTGACTCTCAAATTGAGACAATGACAAGAAATAACCGGAATAACGTTTTACTAAAAAAATTTTTTTAAAGCAGCGCATGGTGGCACACTCTGTAATACCAGCACTTGGGTGGCTGCAGCAGAATGTTTCGAGTCAAGACCAGCCTGGATTACAAAGTGAGCTCAAGGCCAGCCTGAACTGCATAGTAAGACCCTGTCTCAAAAAGACCAAACTAAATAAAAAATAAATAAATGAATATTTTTGATATTAAGCGAAACTTGGTGAAAAAGATAAACATTCTATATTATCTTTGTGACTTTTGTGTAAATCTAAAATTATCCCCAAATTTAAAAATTAAAAATAAACCTAAACCAAAACTATTAACCTCAATTGTTTTACAAGTCCAAAAAAGCATATTTTACCTTTAAAGAAATCTCCAAATTTTTGAAACTTCTAAACCTGTATCAGCATGAACTAAGCACATGAAATCGATGTGGCCCTGAGTAATAACAGTCTTCAAAATTTACTTCCTATTGGCCTTCACAGAATATAGAGAAGGAAAATCCACCAGAATGCAAGATCAGTCACATGGGATACAATAAGCCAAATGGGTTTCTCCTAGAAGACTGAATCAGATTGCTGATGGGCTAACCACGAATTTATTCCACTGCCTTCACCGTCCTCACAATTTCTGTCTCACAAAATTTTATCACTATAGTTTCTCCAAATTTCCTATTCATGTCTTTATTTTTTATTTTTTTGCTTTTTTCCAGTACCAGGGATCGAACTCCCGACTGCCTGCTTCCAAGGCAGGTGCTTATGCTGCTGAGCTAAATCTCCACTCCCTTCATGTCTTTTTTTAAACAGAAGTTTTTATTGTGGGTATCCAGTTACTCCAGCAATATGTGCATGACAATGGGACTGGAGAAAGCAAATTAACTTGCTGTCTAGGTATCAGACCATAAGGGACACAGCCAAGACCCAGCTGGACTTTCTGAAGACTATACATCAACCAGGGATCCTAGTCTCTGAGCTGCATACAATGCTTACAAGGTTTGGAGCTTGTCGGCATTAGGGTCGGGGTAAGGCTGTACTATGGATGGGAAGAATGACAAAAGCCCAAGTGGTAAACTATGGAAGGCTGTTAGTTTTTCCAATAATCAGTGCACATAACAGTCAAGCGTTGGCTAGGAAAATTTCTTGGACTTATAATATACAGATGCTCCTCACTTAATGACCTGCGATTTATAATCTGTCTTTTTTTGGTATGGCTCTGCACATCTTGTTTATAAAGCCTCAATGCCTTTTGCTATACAGCACAGCTGTTAATACAGCATTGCAACTTTTGCTGATTGTACTGTACAACACTGTAGTTTTATGTTCTATTATACATTTGTAGTGCATGTAAAAATTATGCAAATAAAAGCAAAGTTAACAAGTTTCCTTTAACCATTCCTTTGTTCTGAATATTGTAACATACATAAAGTTTGATTCCTCATTTAGCAACCAATTCAATTAACAACTCAGATGCGGGAATGGTGCTTGGTCATCAAGAACTGAGGGTCTGTATAACTGTGTTACTAGGTTCACAACAGTGTGATACATACACAAGTGACAGGTATGATTTCCAGCCTAAAGGAAACTATGCTTTCCCTTTGGTCTTTTCCTCCTTCCTAATAACAGCATGCAGGCATTAACTGAAGCAGATAAGTCAGTCCAAAATATGGCAAATTAACAAGATCCCCAAAAATCTGAGTCTATGATAAATGTAGTTTCAGATACCTGTCCTGTCACCTACCCAGCTTCCTACATCTGTTATAGAAGCAGGACCAATAAATATACAAAGCATCTTTGGCTTTTTCCCAAACTCCCTTCTGGTGACCCTTTCACCTCAAACACCAGTTAACTAACAATTCCTGTTAAGGTATTAGTTCATGTATTTTACTGGTAAATATAGTACACATTTTCTCTCCATGAACGAAAAAAAAAGATCTTCAATGATGAAGATGATATGGTTATGAGCCAGTAACAGCCCTGTTGCACACCTCTATTTCTTATTCAAGAAATACTCTTTTTTCTTTTCTTTTTTCTTTTTTTTTTTGAGATGGTGCTGCTTTTGCAGTTCTGGCTGGCCCTGAACTCTACTGTGTAGCGTAGGCTGACCTTAGACCCCCCAGCAATCTTCCTGCCTCAGCCTCCCAGCTGGGATTATAGCACCAAGCCCAGCAAGAAATACTCCTCAGAAGATTAATGCTCTTTGTCTAGTAGCTATGTAGGTCTTGCATTCTTTTCTCCTCAGGCTAACTTTTTATGCCAGTAAAGGTAAAAACACAGTAGTTAAGGATAAAGAAAAGAAAGGTTCACACTGAAAAAGCAACAAGAAACACTTGCTTAGAGTTCTTTAGCTCTAAGAGTTGCACAATTTTTAAAAAGGCATGAAAGGTAAAGTGCAATAAAACAACAGAAGCAATAAGAATGGCCTAATTCCCTATTGAGCACAAAGTCTCTTGTCACCAAAATACTTTAAATGCTACTCTACTATCTTTGGAATTCTCACCAGTTGAACATTCCTCCAATATCCCCTAGTGGTTATGACTATCAGTAGAAGAAACACTAATCAAGTGCCAAAAAGGCACTTAAAGCAACTTACGATGATGAGTCATTTTCCTTAGGGTAATCTTCATTCAGCTCTGAGCCAGATGACAGCATTCTTTTCCTCTTTTCAGTGCTACACAGAAAAAAAGTTATTTTTCAAAAGTTGTAATTCATGTACCATTAAAAATAAGCCAGCATAAGGACAAGAAATGCAACTACTATTGTCTAAATCTCTATATTATACATAAATTAACAGGCAGTACAACTGCAGGCTCAAGACATGTCACTGACATAAACTATATAAAACAAACACTTGAAATTACCCATAAAAATTATTATACACTTTCTTCTTTATTTCCTCCTCAAATTTCTAAAAGACTTTATAAACAATTACTTGAATGACTAAGAAACATCTTTCCTACCGGTTTTCTAGTAACCCTGATCTAAGAGGTGTTGATGTAGCTGTCAAAGAAGGAATTGTCCGGGTGACAGTTATTCCACTTCCTGCTACAGTCTTAATGGATCCTCTACCTGGATTACCAAGAACTTTTCGAAATGGAGTATCATCTTTAGTTTCCAAACTTCCTCTTTTTGAAGAGACCTGAAACAATGAAGTTTGCAATAGTTAAATCTTCAAATTAGGGGCTGGGGATTTAGCTCAGCGGCATAAGCGCCTGCCTTGTAAGCAGGCAGTCGTGAGTTCGATCCCTGATACCGATAAAAATGAAAAAGACAAAAAAACAAAACAAAACAATAAATCTTCAAATTATCTGCAATATTTTTAAGACCAGTCATTCTCACGTGGAGAACTTTAACAAAAAAAAATTGGGTCTCATTTCCAAAGACCGTAATCTAATTAATCTGGAGTGGCTCATTCATTGGTATATCCATAAACCTTCTCTTAGGCAGAGCTGGGGATCAAATCCAGGTCTCTCACATGCTAGCCAAGCGCTCTACCACTGAGTCATATGCCAGCTCGTGTGTATGTGTGTATCTGTATGTGTGTATCTGTGTGTGTGTGTGTGTGTGTGTGTGTGTGTGTGTGTGTGTGTATTTTGGTTTTATAAGCCAGAGTTTCAATATGTACTTCAGGCTGGCCTTGAACACACTATAATAGTCCAGGTTATCTTCAAACTCATGGCATTCCTCCTGCCTTTGCCTCCTAAGTGCTAGGATTACAGATATGTCCCACCATGCCTACCTACATATATACTTTAATTAATTAATTTATCTGTCTTTCTGAGACTGGGTTTTGCTATGCAGTTCAAGCTGGCTTTGAACTCACTTTGTAGTACAGGCTGGCCTTAAACTCACAGTACTCCTGCCTCAGCACCATAAGTGCTCTGATTACAGGTGTGTGCACCACACTTGGCTTAAATACATATTTTTAAAAGCACTCTAGATGATTCAAATACATAATCAACTATGAAAAACTGAACTTGATAAAGCCAGGCATGGTGGAGCACTCCTGGACCCTATTTCAAATGAAGGGCTGAGAACACAGATGACAGGCTTGCAGAATACTGCCAAAAAAAAAAAAAAAGTTACGTCATTCTCTATGGAATAGAACACACATCCAATTACTTACTATACTCTAAATTTAGAAAATTAAAAAAAGAAAACCCTTTAAGTAACCTGGATTAATAGTTTTAAAAAGTAAACTTAATTTTAAATGGGGGATAATTTTCAAACTTCAAGGCTAAGGATATAGTGGTAGACAAGCCAAGGCCTTGCATTTTGTCTCTGGAATTGAAAAAAAGTGGAACTATTGTTCACAAATACAATATTAAAAGCTGGTCGTGGTGGTACATAGCTAGCTGTAATTCTAGCCCTCAGGAGGCTGAGGGAGGAGGACTGTTACAAGTTCAGAGTCAGTCTGGGCTACGAAGTGAGTTCAAAGCGAGTCTGAACTACAGAGTGAGACTGTCTCAAAAAACCGAAATCTAATCAAATTCCTACTGCTTGAGAAGTTTTATTATCACACCCTCTACTCAGTTCTCCCACTTTTCATTCTCCTACCTCATACAATATTCTCTAGCTTTTCTGCACAAAATTCAAGATTTATTCTTTTTTTTTTTTTTTCCTGGTACCAGGGATCGAACTCACGACCGCCTGCTTGCAAGGCAGTGCTTACACCGCTGAGCTAAATCCCCAGCCCAAGATTTATTCTTAAAATGCACAAAATCATCTATAATTTTATTTTATTTTATTTTGCATACTGGGAATTGAACTCAAGATCTTGTGTGCAACTAAGCTATATTCCTAGCACTGTATTCCTTTTTATTTAATGCTATTACAAAGTTATACATTCCCACTAATGGGAATCTGCTATATATGTTAATGTTTATTTATTTAAGTAGTACTTTAACAGTTTCAATTCCTACCTGTATGAATCCCAAAATAATTGTGCTGGGTAAAAGAATCCAGATTCATTCTCAGAAAAAAATACATGAAGATTTCAAGAGTATAAAACTCCAAAATGGCTGGGCATGGTGACATACACCTGTAATTCCAGCCCTTGGGAGGCTGAGGCAGAAGGAGTGCTGTGAGTTCAAGTCCAGCCTGATTTACAAAGTGAAACCCTGTCTCAAAGAATGAATGAATGGATAAATAAATAAATGGTATAATTCCACAAATTATAACCTAATCTACAGTAACAGAAAGCAAACCTGTGGTCCAGATAGAGACAAGGCAGATTACATGAGAGGATGAAGAAATTTTAAAGGTTACAGCTAAGTTCACTGGGCCTCTTATGGTAATGATTTTAGAAGTGAAAACATGTCAACACACATAAAATCATACTTTGAATATGTATGATTTACTTCATACCAATTATATATCAACAAAAACGTCTCTCCAAAAATCTAACCTATGAAAAATTAACAAAAGTTAAATTTTATTTATTGCTTAGTCCAGTAAATGGACTAAGTTATCACCTCTCTGTATTGCCAAATACAACTAATACATTTACTTAGAGGACAGTTTCAAAGTTTGTCTGATTTCATGCCTAGTTTGCCTTGTAAAACATTTAATGAGACATAAGGCCTGCTAAATTGCAGAAAGATTATTCATTGGCATATGGCAAGTCTCACAGCATGCATGCATGAAAGAAACTCTTTTTAAAAAAATGTGTCATGGAGCTGGGGATTTAGCTCAGCGGCATAAGTGCCTGCCTTGCAAGCAGACAGTCATGAGTTCAATCCTTGGTAGCGATTTAAAAAAAAAAAAGTGTCATGTACATTTCCTATGATGAATGTAAACATTGTGTACTGCAAGCATGTACTAATAAAAATACATTTAAAAAGTAAAAACAGCCAGGCATGTTAGTGCATATCTGTAGTCCCAGCACTCAAGAGACTGAGGGAGGAGGATTGCTGGAAGTTTAAGGTTAGCCTGGGCTACATAGCAAACACTGCCTCAACAAAAGAAAACAAAACAAAACAAACAAAAAACCCCCAAACAACTGAAGTTTATAATGTAGAACAGACCTAAAGAGTAAAATGTATACAGATATTATGCCAAACACTTGCAGGTGGTATAGTATATAAATAGCTACACACTTTTACACATGGTCACAGCAACCCTTAAAATATTATTGCTGCCTCAATTTTATAGATGGGTATCAAGATTCAGGTACCATGTTCCCCAGTGATCCACAGCTAGCAAGTGACATCATCATACTTTATCTCATACCTAACTCCAAAACCATGCTTTTAAAAACTACAGTGCAAAACAAAAAAAAAAAAACAAAAACAAACAAACAAAAAAACACCCACAAAAAACTACAGTGCACTGTGGTTCATAATGCTGACCATGACACATCAAGTAAAACTGTAAAATTTTGTAGTAAAATTACATGTAAGAAGAGATGTGATGGGCCGGGGATTTAGCTCAGTGGCACAGGTTCCTATTTGGCAAGCAGGAGGGAGGTTGTGAGTTTGAGGCCCGGTATCAGAAGAAAAAAGAAGAGGTGTGAAAAACCACAAAGAATTTCATGAAAATCATTCAAAAGATAAAGAAAGCCAAAATGATAAATCTTAGCTATGCGGAAAATACCCCTATAATAATGCCAGAAATATTATATAATACAGGATGAATTTACTACCTGCAACTATCCAGTATGTCATACAACATTCTATAACGTAAGATTTTTTTTTAAAGCTAAAAAGATTTAAACAAACATACCTGATTATCTGAGTAAGAAAGCTGCCTGTTGGTTTCCTTCTGTGAGGGCCTGTTACCCAGAATGGCTCCAAAACTACCAGAACCTTGGGAAGGCTTCATGGCTGGTGACCAAAAAAAAAAAAAAAAAAGTGAAACAAAAAACAAATCACCGATTTTAAGACATCAGGCAAAAGATAACCAAGTTTTTCTGATAGAATGTACATTTCTACAACAGAGAGCTAAAATCTCAAGCAAAAAGGTAAATAAAACAGTAAGAATGTGTAATGGGTAAAATTTACAATCAAAAGGAAAATTCTACAAATTCCTATAGAAAAATTGGCAGTTAACACCACAGTAGAGTTAGCCACTATCTAGAGCAGTGATGGCAAACCCTTTAAAACTTTTAATCACACAACAGCCTGCTGAGGCATGTGTGGTCACAGGCTTGCCACCTCTGGTCTATAACATGAGCATCATTTGCGTCATTATTCATTAAGATTATTGGTCTGTAGTTTTAATCACAGTCTTTAAAACCGCTAATTTCAGACTTTGCATGACCTTACCTGTATGAAGTCTGTTTTGATGAACTGCATCTAGAAACAACCTCATTTCTTCTGCATCCTTACTTGGTACTTTATCAATAGACAAGAAGCTATTATCTTGTAGCGTTAACATTAGGCGACTTTGCTTTACTCCACTGGGTCGAAGTACCACATTTTTAATGTTATGACTTAGCTGATAAAAATAAAGAAAAAATTAATTTAAGTTGTACAATGAATACCAAACTTCACACTTCCCAAGTTACAATTCTTGTACTTCAATACAGTAATTCAGTCTATCTTCAACTAAAGCAGTTCCCATTTCTTAACACGTTTACCTCAAAAACTTAACTTTCAAAAGATTTACACAGGTACTACTAAAATTCATTTTATAGAGTAACACGAGCTCTCTTGATCTTATGGGCAGAGAACTGTATTTTCAGATATAGTTCTAATGTTACATAAAGAATAAAAAAGGGAGTTAACATTTTTCAGAGCCGGGATGGTTATACTACTATCTCTAATATAGAAAATCAAATTAAACTAGTTTTTTTCTCCTTAAATTCTTAAAGCCATTTGGCAAATTGTTTGGGCAGCTGCAATATAAAAGGAATATAAATTGAAGCAACAAATCTTAAAAAGAATTTCAAACTGTCAAAAATAAAGCTTTACCATCACCAAGAAAATACTTTTTAACTAAGTCTAAGAAAACTCACTTGCCTTCGATCACAAAATCACAAAAATATACATACGTACCTTAGAATTTTCTTAGCTTACTGGTATATCTTGAACTCTTAGCCTTTGGAAATGTGTTGTAAGTACCTTTTATTTTCTCTTGAATTTTTTCTTAAGGTTAAATGAATTAATCTTAAAAGTTTCTTCATCATCTAAATAATTCCTAGCAGTCAGGTAGATGTATTCTCTAATATTCTCCATCAGCAGGCATATATCAAGGTTTCTAAAACTGCCTTTTGCAGGAGAAAATGTCTAAAAATGGAATGTAGTAGCTATTGTTAATTTCCTGTTATCCTGTTCTGAATTCCTGTATCACTTTCATTGTTTTGTTAGATTTGGCTTTATTCTGTCTTGTTTTGTTTGATTTTATTTTGTCTGACGGTATGGTCAGATATTTTGAAGATAACAAGATACATTATGGTAGTCATTGTTGATTTCCTACTATCTTGTTTTGAAGTCCTGTATCACTTTCAGTCGTTTTTTGTTTTTCTTTTTCTTTTTTTCTTTTTACGGGGAGACAAACTCACAAACTCACGGGGAGACCTGTCAGGAGGCTTGTCAGGCAGGCACTTAAACCACTGAGCCAAATCCCAGGCAACTTTCAGTGTTTTGATTGGTTTTATTCTGTTCTGTTTTGTTTGATTTTATTATGTCTTCTAGTATGAACAGCTACTTTGAAGATAATATGAGCCATTACGGTAGCCATTATTGATTTTCTATTATATTGTTTTGAAGCCCTATATTACTCTCATTGTTTTGTTTTGATTGGCTTTATTGTTTCATTTTGTTTGGTTTTATTCTCTTTAAAATTAAAAAGAACCTGTTTTTTGCTTAAGACATATCCTTCAAACAGCATAAAGAATAACATTTCATAATTTTAATTAGGAAAAAGTTTTGTCAATTTTTAGATAAGAATGAAAAACACTTATACCAATATTAAAATTTGAAGTGATATATTTTTAGATTCAAAGTAGGTCTTAAATTCATGTCCTTGCGTAGACGTTCCTTAGTAAAACACACAAGTAGGTAGCATAAAGGCATTATTTCAATTTTTCATTTTTAAAAATTAGTTAAACGTGAATAGGAAAGTTTATTCATTAAAAAGATGAAAACAAGCCTGAACTTGGTCACTTCAACAACCAAAATCCCCATCTAGTCTCACAATTTTAGTAATCACTCATGTAAATAAGGACTCCCAACTCTTTGAAGGCCAGAGCTCTCTGTTAGAACTCCAGGCCTGTTTAACTTCTAAAGTCCTGATATCTCAGACAATTCCTTTTTCAATCCTCACATTTGATATTTCCCTCTGCTCCCTATCACAGAAGGCACAAAAAAGACAGACATTCTCACAGAAATGGGAATCTCCCCAAACTCTTTAAATCTTAACTTTCTTTCTCTTGCTTCCTTCACTATTTTTCCTCTATGCAAGACTTTCATCCCTCACCTAACCTCCACGCAACCTCATGCATGTCTTTCCTAATCTCCATTATCATGCATAGCACTCAAGGAATAAGAATCTGAGATCCCTTGGCTCTTTAGAACTTCTGCATCCATTACCAGCAAGAAGCACCACAGCTCTTCAGCCTCTGTCACCAGCTCCCATTTACTTTATACCGTATTGTATTGTACTTTGTTTTATTTTTAGACACAGGCTGTCATTATATAGTTCAGGCTGGCCTCAAACTCACAATGATCCTTGCCTGGCAAGCACAAGGTCCTCAGTTTGATTCCAGGTACCTTCATCCCCAAAAAAGGATGACCTTGAACAATCAACCATGAATGGCCTATACTGTGGCATCTGGCAGGATTAATTAGGAAGTAGAAACTGATTTTTAGAAAACAATAAATCCTCTTAAACCGGGCATGGTGGCACACACCTGTAATCCCACTACTCTTTGGGAGGCTGAGACAGGAAGATCATTGCAAATTCAAGGCCAGCCTGGTTGACAAAGTGAGTTCAAGGCCATCCTGAACTTCATGAATAGTGAAACTCTGTCTCAAAAAGACAAACTAATAATAATAATAAATCCTCTTAAAAATTAACACTAGCCAGGCACGGTGGCATAGCCTATACTCCCAGCACTTGGGAGGCCAATGCAAGAGGACTGCTGTGTGTTAGAGGCCAGCCTGAGGTACACAGAGAGTGAAAGTCTAGCCTGAACTACACAGTGAGACTGCCTCAAAAACAAACACCTAATGTTAACCCAAGTATGGTGGTACATGCCTATAATCATAGCACTTGGGAATTTGGAGGGGCTGAAGCAGAAGGACTGAAATTCTAAGGCCAACATGGGCTTCAAACTGTGTTCAGGGCCAGACTCGACTACCTAGTGTAATACCCAGTGTAAACAAAGACAAAAAGCAAAAAAAAAAAAAAAATTGTACCAAATTCTTATGAACAAATCCATCATCTATGTTAATATTAAAAAAGGAATATACAGGGCCTGGAGATTTAGCTCAGCAGTGTAAGTTCCTGCCTTGCAAGCAGGCAGTCCTGAGTTCGATCCCCGGTACCGATGAAAAGGAAAAAGACAAAAAAAGAGAAGGAATATACAATATCCAAACTCTTGTAAATTCCTCCCCACTAATGTCTTTTCAATAATGGTGACTTTTCCACCCTTTTATTATTCAGAGCCAACAATCCTACTGAATCACTTATAAAACATATACCCAAAAGCACTAGTGTCCCTGGAAAAAAGTGAGAATTGCAACTATGATGCTTACTAGGTGCAGAGCAGCTATTAATTAAAAAATCTACTTAAAAAACCATTCCAAATAAAAATTTGCTTAATACCTGAAATGTCCTTGGAATTCCTCCAGTATTGTAGTGAACCACTAGGCTGACTTTGTTCTCTTTTTCCACAATTTCAAAGGATCCTTCTTTCCACTTTGTGATTCCAGTCTGCATACTTCGAATTCTGATAGGTCCATGTATCTTCAGAGGAGACATATTTTCTTTAAAAATAAACTGCTTCTACCCAAATTTAAAAAACCAAAAAATACACCTTCACCTGACCGGTTCTAAAGAAAAAAAGTAACAAATTATAAGTTACTAGTGATTAAAGTAAGATAAAAGACAATGCTTAATGAACCTTCCTACATCCCTTTCTCAAAGGCCCTAAATTAGTTTTGAAGATAGGGTAAAAAAGACAACTAAAGCAGGTACTCACATTCAGGGGCCACCTTTAATTTCTAACCATGTTCAGTTTCTTCTGTACATGTTCCCTTCTTTGCCATGTGTTCAATACCTGTGTCCTACTCACTATATTCTATATTACACACCATTCATAACCATATTGTTTCCAAAATTAGGAATCAGATTCCATTCTTAGTGTAATTTTGTTCATAGCAATTCTTTCTGTATGAATGCTAATGGGTCATAAATTTCAATTTGAAAGAAAAAGAATTTTTCAGTCATCTAACTCTGTTTCTTAGCATAGGGCTTCTCTCCAGACAACAAAGTACTCAGTAATCTAAACATAACCACATGTACAGCAAATATTAACATGGTCAAAAATTTTTAAGAATCAAACTAGTTCAACTTCCACAATCATATTATTGAGAAAAACCATTTAATCTCTAGGGAAAATAAAAAGGCTAAGAACCACCTACATTTATACTAGCATTACTCCTGGAAAGAATTTTATCTTTGACCTTGATCGAACTCTTGACCTCACGCTTGCTAGGCAGACACTTGTGCCACTGAACTAAACTCCTGGTCACTCTTAATGACTTTTAATATTTGAAAATAACTTCCAGCAATGAAAGATATTTAAGACTCTTTAGTTCTGTCAAAAGTCAGCAAGTAAATAAAATCACAGTAACAGCAGAAAATGCTGTTACTGTATGCTATATATATAAGTGTATATTCATTTAAAATTGCTAAGCCAAATTTTATTTATGCCATTTCCAAGCCACTAAAAATACTGTCTCTAAAATGGATTACCGCATAATTCAAAAAATTAAAAATCATTAAAAACTGCATCAGTATAAACAGTTCAATAAGAAATTCTAGAAAACACAGTATACAAAGGAAAATAATACTAGATCTAGAAGCTATGGGGCCAGTTCTGTCACTTACCAACTTGTAACTAACAATTAGTTTTCTCAATTATAAAATAGGAATAGCAAAGCTGAAAGGTAATAAAGTAACACTTAGGAAGTACTTAACTGATAGCATTATTAATATCAAAAAATTAGCACCCATTTTCTCAATTTATTTCTATTATACCACTTTTTTCAAAGACTTCAATAAATAAGATTAACAAGAGTTACTAACTCAACTGCCTGTAAGAGGCCAGCAAGTTAATGGAAATGACTCAAGCAAGTTAAATGTGAACAACTACTATCCAATCCAATCAACTGAGTAGAAATAGTGGACCTGGTACTACCAGCTCTTCTCTTACAAGAAAATGAAGACTGAAGCATTCATGAAAAACTTCCCCATTTTAAATTGGGAGTAACGGATTCAAAATTACTTTGCAAGCTACAAATGAGCTGGGCATGGTGGAGCACTCCCATAATCCCAGCACTTAGGAGACTGAGGCAGGAGAGTGGTTGCCAATTTGAGGCTAGCCTGGTTACATGGCAAGAGCCTGTCTCAAAAAACAAAAACAAAACAAACAAACAAAAAAGAGCTCAGGCCTGTAGTTTACTATATAGGAAATAACAGAATAAAATAAAAAGATGTAAAAGTATTTTAAAGAGTTAAAAAGTACTATGGATTACAGATTTTCTATTATCATTCATTCATCTCATCAAAGTTTTCTGGGTACACACTGCAACCAGACTGAGGTATTAACATAATTTGATGGGTCTATGAATTCAGCAATCAATGTTGAGGCAATTAACATTTGGAGTCCTGTTTATTGTCATTTTGTTCAACTAGTAATTATAAAAATTTGAACAAGAAATGTGTATTTGGCTTTTTTTCTGAAATGTGTGTCTGTAATTCTTCTGTGAAAAGTAAGTATTTGTGGTTTCAATGGTTACATATCCTTGACATACTTTGACTTTTAGCAATCCAAAGAGTATATGGTTTCTTTACTACCCCGATTTCTATACCAAAAATAAGAGCTGTCTTTGACTTGGACTTCTCTGTTGATGATTGCTGGTATTGGACTGAAATTGGAAGGTCAAAGAGCTGTCAGTTCTACCTCCACACACTTTTCAGAGAGCTTTATACTGAACTGTAGATCAAATCATAGGACTCTCATTATCAACTCAGTAACTCTTTGTCCACACAATAAAATCTAAACTCATTAGCATGATAAGAAAGGCCTATGATTTAGACCTGTTTACTATCTCTTCTCATCCTATCCCTCAAACCCCTCACACATCCAATCATCTTAACTACTTTCCCCAAATCCCAAATATTCTTATGCCACTATGTACACATTATAGCTAATCCAAGAGCATTTTCAGGTATTCAGGTACTTCGCCACTCCTAGCCTTTATTAATTTCTAATCTTGACTCTCAAATTAAGGCTCAATTATGTGCTACTCTATGGAGTCTTTCTTCACCTTTTCTCCTTCATAGCTTCACTGAGACTGTCTAAACCCTTCTCTTTCTGTAGCATTCTGCATTTATCCTCCACTACTTGCCACACTTTGTCACAGACAATTCCTACCTTTCTGTTTCTATTTAGAACCTGAAGTTTGAAGATAAAGGAATATGTTCTTTAATCTCTCCATCCCTGCTGAGAATGCATTGGACACACAGGCAATATAAGAATAATGAACAAATTAGCACTACCAATTTTAATCAATTTGCTGTTAAAATATACAACAGCAGATACTAAAATCATAAATATCTTTTAGGCCGGGGGTTTAGCTAGCAACGTAAGTGTCTGCCAGGCAAGTGCAAGGTCTTGAGTTCAATTCCTAGTGCCAAACTAAATAAGTATCTTTTATACAGGCACTGTAGGATTGTATTTGCTAACTCTTTATAAGAGTACTGCTAAAGCCAGAGATTTAGCTCAGTGGCAGAAGAGTTTGTTTGGCAAGTGAGGGGTTGTGGGTGAAATCCTTGATTGATAGATATAATAAAAGAAAAGAAAAGAAGAGTACTGCTAAGCCAGGTACATCTGGGAAGTTGAGGCCGGAGGGGCCCTATGAGTTTGAGGTCAGCCTTAACTACATACTGAGACACTGTCTTAAAAGAACAAAATAAATAAATAAATATACTGCTATGCACCGTTATTACATCTTTCGAAAACTATGTACACCTGAGCTTCACAAAATGCCCTCATGTTTTTTAAAGAATTCAATGGAAGAAAAATCATTTATGAGTAATAAGTAATATACAGATACAGAATACTTATTTCTTTTTTTTGAGACACAGTTTTGCTATGCAGTTCAAGCAGGTCTAAAACTCATGAATTTTTAAAAACCTGGTAAATGTGTCCAAACTAAGATTACTGTTAATTGTTCAAGGAAACAACTCCACATTAAAGGTCATTATTTATTGCCAAATTCCTTCATTTTTTCTTACATGTCACTATTGGTCTGGGTACCAACATAAACGGACATATGGAACCATATTAGTTTAAAATCTGACTTATTAAATAAAATGCAGAGCTGGATATGATGGTACACGTCTGTAATCTCAGGACTCAGAAGGCTGAGTTCAAGGCCAGCCTGCAAGACCCTGTCTCTAAATAAAGATTTCAAAGTTCACTAAGGTACAGAAAAAAATTTAAAATGTTATTATTTACTTCTTTATCTAATTCTCTATGCCTTTTAAACATTCTGATGTAGAATTTTGGTTAACTGTATAAAACTTTACTTTAGATATCAAATATTTTCTCAACCATTGTATTAGCCACTTTTTTTCTAAGAAAAAAGAAAACCTAAAAGATGCAGGACAATTAACAGAATCAATACAATAAAATGTTTTATTAATGTTCCAGTTTAGTTCAGGACCTGATTTTCTACTAAATGAATAACTACTTTTGTACATTCTTTTTTTTTTTTTTTTGGTCTAAGGATCGAACTCATGACATTGCACTTGTCAGGCAGGCACTTAGGCCACTGAGCTAAATCCCCAACCCCACATTCTTCACACTATTATAGCTTGTCCTACTTGGGGTGGGGGGCGGTGACATGACTAAGTTTCTTTTACATTATGAAACATGATCTAATAACAGTTAAACGTTCCATGAACCTAAGATAAAGACAAAGTTTCCTTACATTGAATAATGATAATTCTCTTAGCCAAGCAATATTAGAAAGAAAAAAGATAATTATAAAAAGAATTATTCTCTACAGTTCAAAGAGATTCTCTTAGACAAAAATATTTTCACAATTAAAATTACTATTCAAATTTGAGTATTCCATGAAACTTAATCCTAAAATTGCAAACATGTTTCTATATAAATGCTCGTATTTAAGGCACTACTTTGAAAATATACTTAATCCAGAGGGCATTCTGTAGTAAAAAGAACTTGCTAAAATATAGAACTATTACCACAAAACAAACACAGAAACTTTCAATTCTTGCCAAATAGCACACTCATGGAAACATATCCAAAATAAAAATATGACTTACTTTTCAGTGACTTTTACTGAAAAACCCTATGTGATAACAATTCACCTTTATTCTGATCCTTGTGCCAAAGGCAATGCACTCTTCTTGGGAAACTACTCATATTCTGCAGGCTAGGTCAGTTCTCCAGGAGCCATCAACTCAGCTAAAGAAAACACAAGTGTGCCTTCTTAAAAGAATTCAATACACAAAATTTAAAATTTTTAACAAAGAAAAGTGACCATTTACACAACAAAGATTAACCCCTCACATATTTAAAAGCACAAATTGCTGAAAATACTTAAGATAATAGGCAACACACACGTGACCAACCCAACTTTCCAAATCTACAGTAGAAAAAAGAGGGATTAAGGGGATCAACTTGTTTCATTTGCTTTTTCCTGCTACATTTGGAAACTAAGAAATCAGTGAAAAAGTACATCCTTTGTTGACTTTATAAACACTGTTACACACTGACATCTAAGTCTTAAAACATCTCTTAAATAATGTTGATACAAATTTCCAAAGGTAATAAACATTTTTCATCTATTTTTTTTAAAGCTCTAAAAGGAAAATGCTTCTCAATGTTAAGCCTCAAGCCTGAGTTTTCCCTAAAATTCTAGCCAGAAAATTTTCACTGTCTACTTGAATACTACATCAATTTTAAACTCATTTGTTCAAGTAGTATACAACCTATTTATCAAGTTACTCCAGTGAGAAGGCGTTGTGGTAGGGATACAAACGTGAAGATACAGTTGATGACCTCATTAAGAGGTCCTTTGACTTCCCTTTTTGTCCTGTCATCATTTAGGCAAGAAATCTTAGCATCAACTTTTACCTCATTCTCATCTATCCCACACAACCTAATTTATCCAGTTACTATTCTAACTCAAAAACTCATACATTTGCCATCATCCTACCCAATATGTGTGATGCACCATTTACTAAGCACAGTGCTAAGTGCCCACACATACATTACTTAATTTCCACAGTGACCTTAAAAGGGATTATTATATCAACTTTATAGATGGGAAACTGGCTGAGAGAGACTAATTCATGCACACAGAGTCAGTAAGAGATAAAGCTACACCTAAGACCAGAAACCACGTTTTTAACCACTGGTATAGTTCATCCAGTTCCCATTGTCTCAGAATTTTTCCAACAACTGATTCTTTACAATATCCTTTGTGGAAGACTTTTTTTATTTGTTAGAAACTAGAGTATACAATTATTGTCTTCTTCTTTCGAAAGGGGAAGGGAGATTGTATACTTACAACTTGTGTACTCCAACAAAATAATACTTAGTAAATGCTAAATACTTGCAGTGAATAATACTAATTTTCCCCTAGATAGTTCTACTACTGGCTTGCCTCTACCTAGAAAATAAATCTACTCCGTTAAGACATTTGTATAGTTTTTTTTTGTTGTTGTTGTTGTTTTGGGGGGCAGTGCTAAAGATTGAACTCAGGGCCTCTGCACTAAATCTGTGGTCCTTTTACTTTGTATTTTGAAGCAAGGTTTTATTAAATTGCTAGGTTGCGCAAGGTGGGCTTGGACTTGCAATCCTCTTGCCTCAGCTTCCCAAAGTGCCAAGTTAACAGATGTGTGCCACTATACCTGGCTGTTTCTATCTTTTAACGCCTATTTTTCAAAATAAATTCTTCCTTCAAAAAAAAAAAAAAAATTAAATAGTTCCCCTCATCATTCACCAACAGATGACTTAACTTGGAACTGTGCTTTATTTTTCTTTATTAGTCTCATAATTTAACCGGCTGTTAAAGATATAATCCACAACTCTAATATTCAAGGGTTTTTTCTCAATAAAGAAACATCAAACAAGTATACAAGACAGATATAACTGAAAGTAAACAAGGATGTTGATCTAGATAAAGTTTATCTCCAATTCAAAGAATTTAAATCTGAACAATTTTATAACAAAAAGATGACTGAAAGTACCCAAAGCTGGAAAACCATTTGCTTTCCTTTGATGCGGTTTTTAATTTGTCTGCAGAATGAAGTCTCGCGCTATGACATGACTATTGGTAATTGGCGCTTCCAAAGACATGACGATTCTTAGAGCAAGTTCCAATTTACTTATTCATTTAACAAATTCTTGAGAAATAAAAATGAGCTAATCACTATCCTGTATCTTAGGAGACAGACTTCAAATAAATTATCCCTGGAAATATATAATTACAAGTTCTAAAAAATGATATAAAGCAAAACATAGGACATGATGAGACTTATGATTAATGCCCAGAGATTGGAGGTAAGGGAAAAGCAAGAGAAGGCTTTTCTAGGAAAGTACCACTTAAACTGAAGAACGAGTTGAAGCCAGGTGTGATGGCACAGCCCATAATCCCAGCACTTAGGAGGCTGTAGCATGAGGATCACAAGTTTGAGCCCAGCCCCGGTAACTTAGTGAGACTCTTATCTTGAAGGGAAAAAAAAAAAAAAAAAGAACTGGGGATTTAGATCAGTATGAATGAAGGTTCTGGATTCAATTCTCAGTACAACAGCAAAACTGTTGTGGACTGGAGAGTTGTTGTGCTAGAATAGCTCAGGTAAACAGAACAGCATATACAAAGGTGATACTTTAGTATGACTATAGTATGACTGATACTTTAGTATGACTAAAGCTGATACTTTAGTATGACTAAAGATATTAAAAGCAGTGTGGCTGGAGGTTAGAGAAAGAAAGGAAGGTAGAGCAGAATATGGTGGCCCATATCCATAATTCCAGCACTTGAGAGGCTGAGGCAGGAGGATCACCGGGCTCTCAAGATCAGCCTGGGCTACAAAAGCAAATACAAGGCTAGCCTGGGTTATACAGTGAAACCCTGGCTCAAAATAAATAAAAAGGAAGATGGTACAAAATGAAGGTACTAAAGTAGGAAAGAGCCAGATTATGTAGTCTTGTGGACCACAGTAACGATTTTTAATTTTATTCTAAATATAATAAACACTTAGCAATGGGCAACTCACTGAGTTTAAAGCAGAGAAATTATATGTTATCGTTGAGTGGAAAAGTGACAATAGTTTGGGCTTGGGCAAAAAGTAGAAAAGGACCCAAAATGAAGTACATAAACCAAGCATAGTGGCACATATCTGTAATTACAGCAACTGGTAGGCCAAGCAGGATGAAATTCAACACCAGCCTGGGCTACATAGTGAATTCAAGGCCAACCTGAACTACACAGCAAAATCCTGTCAAAAAATGAGGTGGTAAGGCAAATAAAGAAAGCAATTAAACGGAAATTTTACTGGAGCTATTCATATCACCACAACAATTACAGTAACAACGCCTACTTACCAGTTTGTGTGTGCTAGGTACTTTTTTTTTTTTTTTTTTTTTGAGACAGTGTCTTACTGTATAGTTCAGGCTGGCCCTGAAATCACTTATGTAGCCTAGGATGACCTTGAACTCACAGCAATCCTCCTGCCTCAGCCTCCTGAGTGCTGAGATTACAGGCATGCACCACCATGCTTGACTGAGCTATGTACTTACAATAATTAATCATGTGAAAATTCTTACTCCTACATTATACATAATACTGGGGGTCACAGATTTGCATCCAGATAAGACTGTGACTTGCACTAGAATACAGATAGTGGTGATGTACAAAAGTCCAGGACATATGTTGAAATTATAATAGATAAAGTATAACTTGAAGAAGGTATATATGCATGAGATGAAGAAGTCAATAATGCACTGCTCAAGTTTCTATTCTATGTAACTAAATAAATGGATATGCTACTTAATGAAACTAGACAGGACGATAAAGAATTGAGTATGGGACTAGAGGAGCAGCTCAGGGGTAGATTTGTCTAGCATGTCCCAGGCCTTGAGCTCAAGCCGGATCATGACAAATATAAGTAAGTAACTGCCTGGCAGGCACCAGGTCGTGAGTTCGATCCCTGGTACCAAACAAAAAAAAAAAAAAAAAAGTAAATAAATAAATAACTCAGGTACAAAAATAAAAATTAAAACTTTTGTTTCATACAAATTCGAAATTGCTGCCAGGCATGGTGTCACACACCTATAATTCCAGCATTCAGAGACTGAGGCGGGAGGGTCTCTCTGAATTCAAGGACAGCCTGCATTATAAAGCAAGACCCTGTCTCCAAAAACAAAACATTGCTAAGCAAAAAAATCAAGCTTATCTTCAAGCAGAGAACTATTTGGATATGGAGCTAAGAACAAAGAGAAGAAAACAGACTAGAAATAAAAACTGTTGTCATCAATGCTAATTAAAATTTAAAGTTTAGGAAAGAATGGAAAACAAAACAAGATTCATAACCGAACCCAAATATTCACATCTCTCACCTAGACAGTAGATTAAACTTATGCCACTGGGCTTTGCAGTCCGCCTTCAATTTGAACTTTCAGCAGAATGCAACACTACACATGACTTCTTGTATCTCTTGCAAAACTCCTCCTTTGTGTCCAGTTATTAAGCTTCAAAAAATTTCTCAAGCTCTATCTGATCTCCCTTTCTCTTTGGGTAATTTCACCCGTATTCATGGCTCCAATTACTATCAACAAGGCAGGTTACATACACACATACAGTATCTACAGTGTATTATGATTCAGTACATATCCAGTCCAGCACTCGCTTGTGATCTCAAACCCAGAACATACAACTGTCTACTTGACATTCTCTCCGGTATTTCCTCTCGTTAGAGACTTTCAGACGCTGTCATCTCAAACGACAGGCCCACCGCTCAAATTTTGAGAGGAACACTACAAAACTACTACAGGACAGCTTTCCAAAACACAGGACTTTGTTGTCAATTATTATTTCCTTTTATGGATCATGATTTAAAAGAGATTAACCTGACAACCTGATACGATGGCAAGGTACGGGAAGCAATGAAGTGCACGACAAAAATACAACCCATGCCTCTAAAGAGAGTTGAAAAAGGGGAGAACGAAGATGAAGATGGTCAAGACAACGAGCCTGGTGGACGTGTGGCAACGGAATTCACCTGAAAAATCAGCAGGCCTTGTTAGGGGGACCAGCGGTGGACGACAACAGTACCAGATAAAAGCAGACCGGTTCGGGTGGCGGACAGAGTTAATACAGACCAGGTCAAAAGACAGGGAAAGTCCAGAAGGCCATCCAAGTGGAGTACCTGTGGGGCCTGGGGAGCGACGAGGGGCTGGGGCGCGCCGAGCAGCAGGGGGGAGAACTCCACAAGAGTGAACGCCGAGTGGGCGGACCGCAGGGGGAGGGGTGCTAGGGGAAACGGTTCAATAGAGAAGCCACCCTTGCCGCCTTACCTGTGCCTGAGGGTACGGAGCCCCTGACAGTCCTGCTGGAAGCAACAGAATCCGCAAGGAGGGGGAGGGGCCGAAGGTAAAAAACTAGGGACTCGGAGCAAGGAACAAGCTTGCTCACTCCCCTAAACAGGGAAAGCAGCTGATGGCGGGAACTGTGACCACACGCAAACACGCACGCACGCACGCACACTCTACGCGACCGCACTCAGCGCATGCGCAAAAATCTCCAAACACCACCCCCTACGTCCTTACCCCACCCCCGCACCAGAGATGTCTCTCAGTAAGCCCCGCCTCTGTCGAGCTGTAGTACGCATGCGCACTTCTCTCCACACCAAATTTCGCCCTCCCACCTAGCCCAGGTGGGCATGCGCAGTTCTTGTCCTCTCCAACCTGCAGTGCTTTTCCCGCCCTTAGCCGGCCTTTGGAGGACGGTCAGAGTTCACTTTTTTCTAAGAATACCTGCCCGATCCAGGGTGGTTGCGGGACTAACAAGTCGTTGTTCGTCCTTCTGGCTCTGAATCGTAAGGGGCTAGGGACATTCTGCGACTTTAGACCAAGGGCCAGGAGGCGGGAAGAAGCTGCGTGGGCGGGGTCAAGGGTGAGAGGTCAGAGGGCTGCGAGGGGGGCGGAGCGAACCTGAGACGGATGGCGGCTCATCACCTTCCGAGCTAGAGGCGCTGAGGCTGAGACGTGAGTCGGGCACCTTAAACGGAGGAAGAAGAGCGGCGGCTGCTCCCAACATGCACAGCCTGGCGACGGCAGCGGTGAGTGGCTGGGCCCGCATCCGGTCCTCAACCGCGCCTTCCGCCCTCCTAGCTCCCTGTGCCGGGCCTGGACTCCGGCTCCTTCGGTCCCAGCCCGCGAGGCCTCCGCACCCTCCATGCCGCGCCCCGTCTGTGGTGCAGCCGGCCCCCACGGTCCTCGCCGGACGCCTCTCGCGGCCTCCCGCGCGGCACCTCGCGTTCTTTTCTGACGCCGGGCCTGGTCCCGCGCCCCGAGCGCATCCCGCGCGGCCCGGTAGGCCATTCATTGATTCATCGCGCTGACCGGCAGTTTCAGGGCGCCAGTTGTGTGCTGGGCGCCAGCAGGGATGAGGGGAATTCTGTGGACAGTGTAACGCCGCCGTTGCCCTCGGAACTCATCGCCTAGGCACGTCGCAGCGAAAACGAAATGGCTTCTGGCTTCAATCACTTGCTTTGCACATGGGAAGCCCGAAGCCCAGAGAAGTCCATAGTCCATTGGTTCTCTCCCTTAAAGCCTTTCTCGCACAACTTGTTTCACCAGCATGATATTTTAACAAGGAAAACAGACTTTATAATTCATTCGTCCGAAGTACTCCTATAGCTTCTCATTGTATTTAGGTAGTCTAGGTCCTTTTCTATGGCTTGCAAGGTCCTATCTGATGTGGTCCTTACTCATATGCACAGCCTCGTTTTATGTCATTTGTTTCTTAAATTCTAGCAAAGCTGGCCACACATGTGCTTTCAGACCTCTATACCTCTTTGCCTCTCCCTAAACTCGCGCAGCCAGTGAAAGTAATCAGTTTCTCTTCCCTCAGGGCTTCTCAGACTGCCTCAGGATGGCTTTTGCTGGCTACCCTAGTCAGTGTAGCTTGTAACTCCTCTCCCAGAGCATTTATTTGTCTCTTACAGCACTAATCTCACGTTATTAGATTTGTTTACCTATGAGTTATTTGTTTCCCATCCTGAGGGCAGAGATAGTGATCGTGTGGATCCGTTAGACACTTTTTCCCCAGTGCAGGACAGTTCCCGATACAAAATAAGGACATAAATAACTTTCCTGATGGAAAGATTGCACGAGGAAGATGAACATTGAAAGAACATAACCATAGTAGAGAAAAGGGACCATTTGATTTGATCACACTCCTCTGAAGGCCAATTCCATTTTTTATTGTTTCACTAAATGGATATGACTTAAGAGTAATTTACTGAAATGCATTTTCAGGCAAAATAACAGTTACTAGAGTACTGAACCTGGGTGTGGTGGCGCACAGTTACTACCCCAGCACTCAAGAGGCAGAGGCAGGTGGATTGCAGTGAATCCGAGGCCAGGCTGGGTCACATAGTGAGTTCAGGGCCAGCCTTAAATTACATAGCACGACTGTCTGTCAAAAAAAATAATAATAAATACGGTATTGAAGATTACCTAAATTGCCTTAACCTTGAATATAAAATGTGAAAAATTCAGTTATGACTGAGCTGTAGAAAACCTTGAAATTTGAGCTGTCATCCCGTCATTTCCAGAACCCCGGGGTGTTTCTTCCACTTGGTTGGTGTTTCTGAGACTTTGTAACTATTCAAAATGGCAATGTATTGTATAAGACACAATTAAATGATTATAATTTCCTTGGTGTTTTTGAATTATTCTTGTAATTTGAGAAGCAAGTTAGATGATATATTTGCTGCAGGTATCAAAGAGCAGCTTAAAGGGGAAATTCTTCCAAAGCTAGCTTGTCTGCCTTTCAAAATCTGATCACACATCTCCTTTTCAGGATTTGTACTTGTGACACTATACCACTTTTCCCTGTACCTCCCAAGTTTGTGTATCTGTTCCTTTTAAACAACCATTAAAACTGTGGCACGTTATTTATAAAAAAGCTTGTTGTAGTTGTGGCTCAATTCTGTAATCCCAGTACTCTGGAGGCTGAAGTAGGAGGATACTGAGTTTAAGAGCAGCCCAGAAACAAGACTTTGTCTCAAAAAACCAAAGAACAATTTTTAAAAATTGGTACATAACTTTTACTCAATACCTATTTCAATGCCTTGCATTAATTTAAAATAGGAACTTTCTGTTGTGCTTTCAGTTGTTCCCAGTTGGACCACATAGCAACTTTCATACTCTTTTGTATCGCTCATTCCATATGATACTTCATTAGTGATGAGACTGAAATAGAAAAAAACAAGACATTTTCTTTCAATCCTTATATCTCCTCTTAGACCAAACTGTGTATATCATTCGGATCTGAGAGTAAGATGACAATGTAATAGTGTTTCTTTCATTCACTAGAAACTGAGAAGAATTTATACATGCAGCAGTGCACACAGTGACCTAAAACACTTGAGAAGAGACTTAATTTTGACTTTTTTTCATTAAGGAATACTTGTACATGTGCCTGCATTTTATCTTTTTTTGAAATAGCACATAGTTCATACCTTCAGCTAGGAAGGCAGAAAGTACTTTCAAAGGAGAATGTGACCACACATGAATGCAAGTTGTAATTTACTAGAAGAATAACACAAGTACTGCAATAGTTAGAGAAGTATCTTAATTTTCTTCTTCCTCACAACTAAATAGGAACAGAAATATCACACAAGATAATTCAAAAAATTAATGAGAAAACAAAGCTGTGACTGGTTCACTTACTGGTAAATGCTAATTCTTACCTTGGTAAAGTAATAAATTACTTCATTATAGACCTGGGCGGTTGCTTCAAATTAATAGAAATACAGATTTTCATGCACATAAATATCCTGTAATGGATATTATACTAGTGAAACAGTCAAATGTGAACCTTTAGGAGATGCATTAGATTATACATTGTTAAAAATTCTTCATGATTTCTACTGGCAATTCTAGCATTCCTAACTCTTGTCTTTCTCTATCCATCTAATGATCACGTCATTAAAAAAAATTTTTTTTATATATTTTTGTTGAAACTATGATGGGCTTCCAGGTGCCCTCATTGGCAAGTAAAACTCTATGTGCCTGTATACAGAATCTAATTCACTGTCTTTTTCCCCAGTCTTTTGAAGTTTTAAAATTGCTAGCTTCCCTTTGTTCATTTACATTTTTAAAAATTACATTTTAAAAATTATCTGGAAACTGGACATGCTTGTAATCTCAGCCCTCTGGAAGGCTGAGGCAGGAAGACTTGTGGGGAAGTACTTGGTATCAGACCTGAGGGCACTCTCCCACTGAGCTATATCCCTAACCAATCTGTCCCCTTCTTTCTTTCTTTTTCTTTCTTTTTTTTTTTTTTTTTTTTTTTTTTTAAGGCAGAGCTGGCTCAAACTTGAAATCCTGCCTCCAGAGTAGCTGGGATTACAGATGTCAACCACTATGCCAATTTTGGCTCTAATTTATGAGGCTGTTTAACCTAACTTAATTTGCACACTTGCCAGGCAGGTGCTTATGCCATTGAGCTATATCCCCAGCCCCACCTAACTTAATTCTTTAGCACTATTGAAAAGTATATAGTTTTTTGGTTTTGAGATGCTTGGGATAAACTCAGGACCTCACACATATTAGGCAAGTGCTGTACCATTGAACTACATTGCTAGCCTTAGAAAATGTTTTGTCTTAGACTATCATCGTTGTATTAATGCTCAAAGCCGTATGTTGAAGCACTTGTAACTCGGTTGACTGTCACTTATTTATTGATAGGAAAACAAAGTTAGTCTGCACCCATGAAGTTATTGGTAATTTGGCTATTTTATTTATTCATGTTTGGGTTTTTTGAGACAAGGTCTCCCTGTGTAATTCACACGGCTTTGAGCTCCCTATGTAGCCCAGGCTGGCCTTGAACTCACAGCAATCCCCTTGCTTCAGCCTCCCAGAGTGCTGGGATTACAGATACGTGCCACCATGCCCATCTGTGACCTGTGCATGTTAATTGTGGTTACGTAGGCATATAAATTTATCAAAATTCATTGAAATGTATAGTGTAAATGGGTGTGTTTTATTGTATGCAAATTTTACCTCAATAAAATTTATGTGTTTTATAACAGAATTAAAAGTACAAGGGGCTGTGGATTTAGCTCAGCGGCATAAGCACCTGCCTTGTAAGCAGACAGTCATGAGTTTGATCCCTGGTACGGATAAAAAGGAAAAAGACCAAAAAAAAAAAGTACATTGATGCCTCAGTAAGCAAACACTTCTGTTTGCAAACGACCCAGATGACAGACACAGTCACTGCCATCTCTCCCAATAAACAAAAACACAACTATCTTCCTCAAAGTTGTAAAACAAGTTCATAAGCAAGATACTCTGTCTGGCATGATGACACACACCTGTAATCTCTGGCACTTAGAAGGTGAGGATGGCTGTGAGTTGAGGCCCACCTGGGCTACATATGCAAGTTCAAGCCCAGCCTGTACTGTATATAGCAAGACCCTGTCTCAAACAAAGTACACTGTAATTTCTAAGATTTCAGTCTCTGATACTGGCAATTTAATATAG